ATTACACGATATTCGAGTACCTATTTTTAAATGCAAGTGGGTTGATTTTAATACCGGCATCTTCACCGATGATCTTGGATTTACCTTGGTTAACCTTGAAAATACTCGTTATACCGAAGAACCATTTATCATGGCATCTCGTGCAAAACAAGTGTTTTATGTCACCGATCCCGCTAACAAAGGATGGTCGAGTGGTTCTACAAGGAAAACCCATGTATACTTCGATGAGAATGATGAATTAGTACTTGATATATCCGAGACACCATGTTTCTCTTCAAATATGCCAAACTTGAGTGTTAATGTAGAAATAGATGATGTGCATGCCATACGTTATGACCATATGGAAGGATTTTGGGAGAATGTTCCAACTTGATAATGTATGAAATTTTTTTAATGTATTATTTTTTAATGTATGCACTTTTTTGTTTATCTTCGAATCATATTGTCTAAACTAATAACTATTATTTTTTTTCTTTGAACACGGATATGGCAGATTCATCTCGGTACCCCTCCTCCTACACAGTCCCCCTCCTACGTAAGGTGGTGATCGAGTCGACCGTCTACCAGGAAAAAGGGTAGGCGTGCTACACTGGCTGAGGGAGTTGAATATTAGTCGTAGCTCCGATCGGAAATTGCCTATCCAGCTTGACATGCAAACCGGTAGAGCCATTGGAGAGCACAGTGCTAGATTCACTAGCTATGTGGCCTTGCTTGGGAGAAGTAAGGTTAGTATTCTTATTGAGGATTGAGACCATGTTCCGAGACACCGAAGAACCGGATTTGGCAGAGTATCCTGGTACCTACTCTTATTTGGCATTTAACATGTATATATATTTAACTTTTTGGGAACTTCATGTTATTTTTATTGTGTAGGTCACATATGATGTCCCTAACACCACTTTGTTGAGGACAAAGTGGATCTCATATGCCGGGGAATGCCTGGAGAGGTTTTAAGAGTGATCTCGACCGGTCGATACATATATGGGGCATTGAGCAACAAGAACCCATGTGACCAGTATCGGCTTTTGGATGAGGAGACATGGCGGGCATTTCGGACTCAACGATTAGACCCTAGGTTTCAGGTTAGCACATTTGTCATTTGTTTGCGAGTAATTTTTTTTAAATAGAGGTTTTAAATTTGGTATTTAACATGGAATGCAACAGAGCCAAGAGGCGTAAGACACATGATATTCGTGAGAAAGAATATCCAACCCCACGAGGTTGTCTCGTGGGGGTTATGAGAAATTGGAGGAGAAGATGATGAAGGAGACTTCTTCAAGTCTACCTTCGGATGACTCCGCTGTGAGTTCTCGTCACCCGCCCTTCACGCCATGATAAATGGAAGAGAGCTCGCCGAACTCATCGAGGAATTACTTATCCGAGCAAACTAATGTTGTTGCTCAACGTATTGTAAGTAGCATATCCTAAACTAATTATATATGTTATACTACAATAGGCATTTGTATTTGCTAAAAAATCATTCGTTTGTGTTGTAGGATGAGTTGGTTGAGCGAGCACTCGGGGATCATTCCACCCACATGGCCGTCAGGATATATTGGCAGTGGCCATTGGTACCCCGGAGCATCCCGGGTGTGTTCGTTAGTGCTGGACGAGGGGTGGGCATCGGACAGGACTTTGGTGCCCCACCCGTGGCAACTCCTTCTTTGAGGCAGCTGAATGAGCAAGAGTTTGAGTCCCTCAAACAACAAATTAGGAAGGAGATTCGAGATGAGGTGTACTCGACTTGAAGGCGAGTTATTGAGCTCAATGCGAGCAGAGTTGGCATCTTTGTCCTCTCAACCTTCCGTCCCCGCAAGAGAGGCATCCCCGATTCATGTCGACACAAAGGAGAGTTGTGATGCTCCCGATAGAGGGGCAGATGTTGCTCCTACCGACACCGCTGACCGTCGGCTGTATGTTGCGGGTCCTCTCGAGCATTTGGTGGCATACGGTACGTATTATATCTTTGACATGTATTTGGTACAGTTGTTAAGCATTATATAGTCTAACATATTTTATCCTTTGTTTACCTTAGGGAAAATGTATGCATTGGGGTCAACCATCCACCACCGAGTATTGGAGATGATATGATCGAGTGGTGGTTGTAGATGTCCGGGATGCTGCTGCCCTAATCCCTATTCCCACCGAAGAGGTTCAAACAATGGGATAGGCACCCGACCATTTTATCTTATGGCCAGCTTTCATTAACAAGACCCATCCTAACACATGCACAGAGTTGATTTATGCATTGAACGATAGTACTTATTATTTTTTTATAGGTTGATGTATATTAATGTTATTGATTTTTGGTACTTGTATAGAAAGAGGTTGAACAAGCAAAGGAAGTTGTGCATGAATCACCACCACCACCATCTCGCTTTACAACGAGTCGATGCATCGACAGATGACTATCTGGACCACTCCCATACAGCTAGATATGCCACCCGAAGTCGTATGCAGGACCAAGACGATCCCTTTTTTCTTACTCCAAAGGGATATTTTTGATATTCTCGCTGGTATCGATATGCTATGTGTATCGGTGTTGCAACTTTGGGAAATGTAAGTATATTTACATATTTTTTATATTCTCACTGGTACATTATTTTATAACTTTATTTATTTTCAATGTTGAAGGTATTTACATCGTTTGTGTGATGAGAGGAAGATCCGCTTTCTCTATGGATTTGTTGACTCTCGTTGCCATTCGATCCGTTGGGAATAAAGTCGAAGAGGTGCAAACGTACTTAATAGAGACATTTCAAACTCGGGGCAAAGAAGTCTACTTAGCACCTTACTTGCATCGGTAAGTATATACATCTTATAAATTAATGCACATTTATGTAAAACTGAAATTTTACTAATATTATTTCAACGTGCGAGGGTAATTGACGACTCATAATCATTGTTCCTCAGCAATTTCTTGTGATTCTCTTGTGTTCATTACACAAGAAACCAAATGATTTGGATATTAGAAAGCACATAGATGCGTAAGTTTGGTTTTTTTAATTGTTGTATCATATGTGCACTACTTACACCAAAATTATTTGTCCTTTTGTAGAGCTTTGGAAGCTCACCTAAGGTTGCAAGGCCTTCCATCTCATGCTAGAAAGAAGTTGACATATATTGCACCAAAGGTGACCAAACACCTCTTACTGTTGTTCAATTTGTCATTTAAAGTTAATCTGACATGTATTTAACTTGTAGTGTCCACGCCAACCGGGAAGCCATGAGTGCGGGTATTATGTGATGAAGCACATGCATACCATCATAGCCAAAAATATTCTTGACACGTGGAGGGAGGTAAATATACTATAATTAAGTCAAATATGCCAATTATGTAAATGATTTCTAAATCGAAATGTTTCAATATGTAGGAATTTACAGACTCATCTCCAATGAAGATTGAAGTCTTAGACGATATTAGAGAGCAGTGAGCTTCTTTCCTTTTAAGCATTCAATCTTCATAGGAAATTTGACTTGTAACAATTTAGATTGAATTGATGTAAGTTAGGAAATTTACATTCATTTAAGTAAATGAACTGTCTGGAACTGGATCTGTCTGTACATATATTGATTTCAATGTGTTTCATATGTACATATCTGTTTGCAACAGGATCTGTTTGTACTGGATATATATCTGTAGCAAATTTATATATGAACTGTGCATATCTGTCTGTACTGGATCTGTGAATATTTGTCTGGAACTGTGATGAATAGGCAGGTCTACTCGAAGAAAGGTAGCATCTCTAAAGAAAATGCAGGTATTTTTAAAAAAAATAACACTTTCTACGTTGGTTAATGACACAACCGACGTAGAAAGTTTAACATTTTATGTCGGTTATAGGCATAACCGACATTGATAACACATACAATCACTGAGTATCGTTAACCGATATAGATACTCGGGGTTATAGAAAGTTAGAAAGTAAGACTTTCTATGTCTGGTTATCGGTGTTAACCGACATAGAAAGTATTATGACCGATCGTAACCAGTTATGATCGATCGAATAGCTCATACAAAGTAAGACTTTATACGTCGGTTCCTCGACTAACCGACGTAGAAAGTCTTCCTATGACCGATCGTAACCAGCTATGATCAATCAGTAATAGCTCTATGGCCGATCGAACCAGCTTGACCGATCATAATAGCTCATAGAAAGTAGGGCTTTCTACGTCGGTTCCTAGGACCGACGTAGAAAGTCTTACTTTCTACGTCGGTTATTAGGAACCGACATAGAAAGCCTTACTTTCTATGATCCCCGTATCTATGTCGCCGCTTTAACCGACGTAGAAAGCCCATTTTAACCGATGTAAAAAGCCTTTTTTGTAGTAGTTGGGCATATTATTTTGTTTCTCTTTCTTAATCTAAATTATTTTTTAACATTAGCCACCAAAATTTTGACAATGTACTAATATTAAATTTTAAATTAGTCTCTAATTAAGTTAGTGGCTAATTATAATGTTAGATTACTACTTTAATTTTTAAAAATAAATTCTCTTGAATAATTTTAAATACCATTTCAGTTATTAAAAAAAATGTATAACTTTATTGCTAAGAATTTTTTTAAATGAAATTGTGAAGGCATCTTTCTTGAAAATTCCATTCTTGTCATGTTTCCCGGTGATTGACTTTGTAATTAACAAAAAAAAAAAATCATATGAAGTCGCTGAGCGTAATATTATTTTATGGTATATGGCAGAGTAATATTTATTTAATTTATAAAATGCACAGAAAAAAATAATTAAATCTATTAGAATCGTTAATTAAGTTTTTTTTTATACGCCAATTTTTTTTATATAAAAATAATAATTATCAATGAATGTATAAAAAATAATAATGCTTTAGACATGATCGAATATTACTACGTATATATGTTTTCTTGTGACTTCACTTCAAAAACAATTACATAGTCATGTAATAAAATAATTAGGTATTCATTGAAGTTTGGTTCGAGAATATTAACACCTCCACCATCATCATCAAACTGAACTTTCTTCTAATGGCTGTAACATCCACTTCCCGAGCATTCATCTACGATGTGTTCCTCAATTTCAGAGGTTCAGATACACGCCAAGGTTTTACTGGCTATCTCCACAAAGCTCTTCATGACAGTGGAATGCACGTTTTCATTGATGACGAGGGACTTAAGTGTGGAGAGAGAATAACACCAGCACTTGTGGAGGCAATTGAAAAGTCCAAGATTGCCATCACTGTGCTCTCTACAAACTATGCTTCTTCCTCCTTTTGTTTAGATGAACTTGCAACCATTCTTGACTGCTCCCAAAGGAGAGGATTGTTGGTGTTGCCTGTCTTTTACAAGGTGCTTCCTGGTCATGTGAGACACCAGCAAGGAAGTTATGGAGAAGCATTGGCTAGGCTTGAGGAAAGGTACGACCATGACATGGGGAATTGGAAGATGGCACTAAACCAAGTAGCTGATCGTTCTGGCTTTACTTTCAATGATAGGTATCTCTCTTTACCAATCTTTGTAATTTTTTTTGGATTAAGTTTCTCTTGTCTAATGAGTTGACTCTTGAAAATAGAAGAGAAAATAATTTTTTTGTTGACATGGATAGATACAATTCAAGGCTTTTAATTTGACTGGGTTAAATGCTTTGTTTAAAGCAGAGATGGATATGAGCACAAATTCATTGAGAAGATTGTTGAGCGTGTCTCCAGCGAGATTAGTAATGGTGATGATAGAATACATGTAGCTGATTACCCAGTTGGACTAGGATCACTGGTACTGGAAATAAGGAAGCTTTTGGATGTTGGATGTGGTGATGGTGTCCACCTGATAGGGATCCACGGAATGGGCGGTGTAGGAAAATCAACTCTTGCTCGAGCAGTTTATAATTTGATTACTGATCAATTTGATGGTTCATGTTTTCTTCAAAATGTAAGAGAAGAATCAAACAAACATGGGTTAAAACACCTTCAAAGCATCATTCTTTCACAGGTACTTGGAATGAAGGAAATCAACCTAGCGAGTGAGCAACAGGGAATTTCAATGATTAAAAATAGGCTCAAGCGAAAGAAGGTTCTCTTAATTTTAGATGATGTAGACCAGCACAAGCAATTACAGGGAATTGTTGGAAGATCTGATTGGTTTGGGCTCGGAAGCAGACTCATCATCACCACTAGGGATAAACAACTACTAGCATCTCATGAGGTTAAAAGAATATATGAGGTGAAGGAATTGAATCAGAAAGATGCTTTTAAGTTGCTTACATTGAAAGCTTTTAAAATGGAAGAAGTTGATCCAAGTTACACGGAGGTCTTGAATGATGTAGTAAATTATGCTTCTGGCCTTCCATTGGCTTTGGAAGTAATTGGTTCCAACTTGTTCGGAAAAAGTGTGCAAGAATGGGAATCTGCTGTCAAACAATATAAAAGAATTCCTAATAATCAAATCCTAGAAATACTTAAAGTAAGCTTTGATGCTTTGGGAGAAGAAGAGAAGAGTGTTTTTCTTGACATTGCTTGCTGCTTCAAAGGGTACAAATTGTCAGAGGTTGAAGAGAAACTTCGTGCTCTTTATGATAACTGCATGAAATATCATATTGGGGTGTTATTTGAAAAGTCTCTTATAAAGATTAGTCATGATGGTAGAGTTACATTTCATGACTTGATTGAGGACATAGGTAAAGAAATTGACCGTCAACAATCACCAAGAGAGCCGGGGAAGCGCAGGAGATTATGGCTACAGAATGATATAATTCAAGTTTTAAAAGACAACTCGGTGAGTGAGAAGCTGATGAATGGTTTGATTTCTGTGTTGTATTTTTGTATCACAGTCTTTTATTCTTTACAATTTGTAAATTCTCTAAATATTTGAATTAATGTCTTACATATATTTGTATTGTGGTTGATTCGTACCTTTTGCTTTAACAGGGAACTAGTGAAATTAAAATTATATGTCTGGATTTTCCCATATCAGACAACCAAGAAGTACAATGGGATGGAAATGCATTTATGCTGATGAAAAACCTTAAAGTACTTATTGTTAGAAATGGTAAATTTTCCCAATATCCAAATTATCTACCAGAAAGTTTGAGAGTACTGGAATGGCGGGCACGGGTATCCTTCTGATTCTCATCCAAAGAACTTGCCATATTCAAGTTACGAAATATATCCACCACAGCATTGTAGTATGGTGGCTTATCCAAGGCAAGTGTGAAGAACAAATTTTACTCATCTAGTAAATTAGCAAATTCACTGTAAGCGTATTGTTAATTGTATTATAGAGGTGATGTTGGCATGTCAAACACTGAAGAAACTAAATCTTAAGGGAGATTTTTGCTACAGCAAAGTGTCACTACGCAGAGATTTAGATCAAGAGGAAGACAGTTTGGGGCTGAATAAAATTCTTTATTTCAATTTCTTTTCTGACTTACCACTACAATACATCAAGCAAATATTTGTAGATTGACAGGGACTAAGACAAGTAGATAGGTCACAAATATAAAGAGAACACCTTATCTACTAAATATTTTACTAACACCATTTAATATCTCCAACAAACACTTATCACAGCATATTACTCAACCATCATTCTCTGATTTCCTTTTTCCCCTTTATGTACTTTTTGCCTAAGTTCATGTATCTCATGGTTTTGAGTTTTGACATGTGTAAATGTTTTAGCTCAGATACCTAACATATCTGCTCTTTCAAATTTGAAGGAACTTTCATTTATTACGATAATTTGATTACAATTCTTGACTCAGGTCCAATAAGTGATTCCTATTTCAATGCTTTATAATATGCATCACATTTGCTTTTACTTGCTTTTCTTCTAAGTGCCAAAGTAAGGTTATAGTTTTCTTGCAATGAGGATATATATGTGTGTCATTTTGTACTTCTAAAAAGGGTCTTAATATGCTCTATACAATAGAACCCCTTACATGGGACGGAATTAATTATGACCTTTAATAGTCATTGGCACAAGAACTGACCAAGTATTACTGTGTTTGTCTAACATCTACATTGCTTTATCTAAATCACATAATTTTAGTGACAGATGTGACCAACTCTCTGTATTGATGTTATGAAAGTTAGGCTTAGTGTGGCCAATGTTCCATTTCAAGTGCCCTGAATCACAATATCACAAAGCCTCAATTGAGTATCAGAGATGTTTCTGGGTTCCAAGAGGGTTAATACACAGATTTTCACGAATAACCCAAAATTTTGAAATATTAGATTTTGGATCTTTCTCACTTATAAATTACTTATCATACTTAAATAAACCTATTAGAGGATGAGACATCATCTTTAATAAAAAAATTTAAGAAACATTATATTATGGTCTTTCTCACTTTTAATCAATTTTTTTTCATTTTTACATGTGTGATTCCCAACTGATGTGAATATAATCCAACATCTCACATAAAGGCCCCTCCTCAGGATATTTATCATATAGTAAAGAAATGTTTCCATTATCGATTCAAATCATGAACACCATGAATATGAAGCCCCTTTGCCGTCCTTGGCATGTATAATCGAGGTTTGCTGTAAATATTTTTCCCTCAAAACTAGGACCCATAATTTTTGAGGATCATGCAAGAGCGACCAAAAATTATTTCCCAACAGTGAAGTATTAAATTTCTTGACGTTCTAGTTGCATTCAGTCTTGTATTTATATATAAAAGAACAAATGTTCAATCACAGTTCATTAATCCATTCAAACCATTATGTCATAACTTTTGGAAATAAAAATATCTTTACCTAAAGAGAGCAGTCATTCCTTGCCTGTAAATGAAACCTATGCTGTTGAAGCAACTAGAAATAGTTTATATGGGGATTCTGAACCTTACAATAAATTGCTTATGAAGGAAATACAACATACAGCAGAGGAGTTTGCTGACTTTTCTCATCCCTTCTTGTCTCACATGTTGTGTTTACTAAATTTTAGCAAATCAGATTCTGATTTTTCAGTTCAGTCACTGAAAGCATAAGCTTATCCATTATTTTTGGTGGTCTACCTGTTTTTTGCTTGGTCTCATAGTATCCTTGCCTGTCCTATTTCGAGGCATTTCCTCAGCATTTTTCATAGATTGTGTGGTTTGAAGGACTTTTCCCTTGTTTATGACTCAGGCTTCTTCTTACTCAATGTTTGCAAACTGTCATTTTCTCCCTTATAGGACTCAACTCACTCATGTCTTTACCCTATTAGCTTGATATTAAGCCCATTCACCAGAGAAATGAATTAATCATAACGAAGGAAGAAACAATGGAACAACATTCTTTACCTATTTCTTGTCATTTTTGGATCCTGAGTCTCAAAACACTGTAAAATGCGCTTGACAGAACAGTTAACATTAACCAGGATTACTGATGCCCATTTTCTTCAAACAATTTCACAACCTATTTGGATTATTATTAAGGTGGACATGTTATTTCAAGCAAAAATAGTTTACTAAGAGAACCTATTTTCTCGTTATTTCAAATAATCAAGTAAAAGTAATTTACTTACATAGTAAAGAGATAAAATTTACAATAATACTTTCTTACACTAATTCACAATCCAATGGCATTCAGTTTCTCTACACAAGAAGATTTACATGTTACTACTGAAACACCAAATTGAATTCCAATATATATTTCAAATAAAATGAGTTACTGTGATGAAGTATGGCATGGGATAATTGATCTTTGACGCTAATCGTTCCACTTATCCACTTTCACACCATCAAATTTGAATATTCTCCATGCTACTTTCCAGTTTGTATACATAGAATCTGATTCCTTTAAGGATTGAGGTTTGTTCACAAGTCAAACTATAGCACATGTATCCTCCACATGGCTCCCATTCATTCTCAAAAGGCACCTCATACACACTGCTTTTCAATTCTGTTACATAGATAAAAAAGATATGCATGATCCAATCCCATCATGAACCTACACAATCAAGGGAAAATTCGTTGTCATTAATGAAGTACCATGTGACAAAATATCCACATTCATTATCCACAAATGCAATAACAAGACAATGAACTTGTTGAAGGTCCCATGCTTTACGGATTGAACCACTCTCGAATCCTTGTCCTGGCAAATTAAGCAGAATGTTTCTGACCTCATGTAGTTCCTGTTTATAACAAAGAATTCATAAGTTCACCAATGTTAAGTACTCTACGTATTATTAAATTAAAAACAATACAAACCTTATTCAAGAACATGCTTATACATGGGGAAGTCAAGTATTTGCTTTCTATTGTCTAGAAATCTTTTAAATATGACAGAATCCCTCCAACTTCCAGAAGATGCTCCCCAGAAGTCACATCTAGCATCCTTAAAAATTGAAAAAAGAAATACGTTTTCAGGAAGAATTGAAAAATTATTATTCCAAAGGTCTAAATCTTAATACTTGAGCACATGTAAAACTATTGAAAAAAATCAACACAAGTTGCATCCTGAGGCAAAAAGCCATTTCCCTTTGAAGATTCCCACTTTTTCTTCACCATCTTCCTGTTTTAGCCATTTCTACCCACAGCCCATGAAGATGCTACTTGGTGACTGAAAATTCCACGACTAGACAATCATAGTTATGAAGCCGGGTAAAATCTGGAAAGGAAAATGGAAACTCTTGTATGGGAGTGTAGTGGAAATGAAGTTCCCTTATGTTTTCTATCTTTTCTTATATTTATGTAAAATCTCTCAAGATATAACAAGATGGAGGTTTTCAAGAAAGGTCAACTTCATGAGTGGAAAACTCTTAAGCTTGGTGCAACCAAAAGCGCTCAATATTTTAAGTTTATTTGAAAACCAATTGAATCATGAACGGTAATTAAATTCTTACAGTATTCAAATGAAAGTTTCTCCACATTTTGTAACCAGATATGTTAGGTATCTTGGTTAAACATTTGCACTTGAAAAATTCAAAACTCTTAGATTCACCAACTTCTGCAGAGAAAAAAGCAAAGAATTGAATGAAAATCTTATAGTGAATTTATTAATTTAGAATATAAGGAAAATGTACTTTTTTAACTTGCCTTCAATAAGTTTGTCAACTCCATTGTTGGAATACAACTGCAGGGTAACTTGCATATGGCAAGTTCCTTTGGATGAAAATCAGATGGCAAACAATCTGACGGATATCTACACCATTCAAGTACTCTCAAACTATTTGGGAGATATTCTGGACCTTTGGAAAAATTACCATTTCTAATAATGAGTGTTTTGAGGTTTTGCATATTCTGGAAAGCCTTTCCATCCCATTTTACTGTTTCTTCTTGATCAAATATGGGGAAATCCAGACATATGATTTCAATATTACTAGTTCCCTGTCAATGCAGAAGGCACGAATCAACCACAATACAAGTATGTGTAAGACTTTAGTAGACATAATATAAAAGAAAAAAACAACTATTATGTGAAAATATGATGAACAAAAAGGATAAACCAAATTAAGAAATCAAACCATTCATGAGTTTCACTCACCGTGTTGTTTCTTAAAACTTCTCTTACATCTTCCAGTAACCATAATCTCCTGCGCTCACCTGGCTCTGTCAGTGATTCCTGTCGGACAATATCTTTACCCATGTCCTCAATCAAGTCATGCAATGTAACTGTATCATAACAAGGTTTTGTACCAGGATTAAGCTTTATTAGAGATTTATCAACCAATACATCAATATAACACCTCATGCTCTGACCATAATGAGCTTGAAGTATATCTTCAACCTCTGCCAATTCATATCCTTTGAAGCAACAAGCAATGTCAAGAAAAACACTCCTTTCTTTTTCCTCCAACGAATCAAAGCTTGATTTAAGTATTGTTTGGATTGGATTATCAGGATACTTTTCAAATTGATGGATGGCAGATTTCCATTCTTCTATGCTTTTTCCATACAAGTTGGAACCTATTACTTCCAAAGCTAATGGAAGGCCAGAAGCAAAAGTTACTGCACGATTGAAAAGCTCCTCATACGTTGGATCAAAGTAATGCATTTTAAAAGCTTTCCATTTAAGCAATTGAAGAGCATTGTTCTTATTTAATTTCTTCACCTCATATGTTCTTTGAACGTCATGGGAGGCTAGCAGTTTTTTGTCTCGTGTCGTGATTATGACTCTGCTGCCAGGACCAAACCAATCAGATCTTCCAACAACTGCGTGCAATTGCTCCTGCTTGTCAACATCATCTAGAATCAAGAGAACCTTCTTTTTCTGGAGCCTACGTTGTATCATTGAAGTTCCTTGTTGCACACTTTTTAAGTTGATGTTCTTCTCTCCAAGTAATTTCGAAAAAAGTAAGCTTTGGAGGTATTGTAACCCATGCTTGTTTGATTTTTCTCTCACTTTTTCAATAAGGCATGAAGCATCAAAATGATCAGATATCAAATTATTATAAACTTCTTGAGCAAGTGTTGATTTACCTACCCCACCAACACCATGGATCCCTATCATGTGGACACCGTCATCACATCCAACATTCAAAAGTTTCCTTACTTCTAGCACCTGTGACTCTAGTCCTTCTGGGTAATGAGCAGGGTCAATCTCTCTGGAGACCCACTCAACAATCTTCCCAATAAACTCATATTCATATCCAGTCCTATTTCAAACAAAAAATTTAGTGACTTCAAACTTAAAGCCTCGTATGATGTCAAGGTTAACAAACATTTATTTTCTCTTTAAATTTTAACATCAAATCATAAATCAAGTGAAACTTAATCCAATAAAATTAAAAAGACTGGTAAGGTAGGGTACCCATGTTCGATATGAATGCCAGACAAGTTAGCTACTTGATGTAGAGCCATCTTCCATTTCTCCAACTTTTCCATGTGATCCTTGAGCCTCTCCTCATGTTTAGCCAAGGCTTCTCCATAACTACCTCTCTGATATCTCACCTGAATAGGATCCACATTATAAAAGACTGGTAAAACCAGCAGTCTTTTTCTCTTAAGGTAGTCAAGGATGGTAGCAAGTTCATCTAAGCAAAAGGAGGAAGAAGCATAGTTTATAGAGAGCACAATGATGGCAATCCTAGACTCTTTAATTGCTTTCACAGTTGTTGGTGTTATTTCCTCTCCTCTCTGAAGGCTTTCATCATCAATGAAAGTGTGGATTCCACTGTCTTGAAGAGCTTTGTAGAGATAGCCAGTAAAACCATGGAGTGTGTCAAAGCCTCTGAAGCTGAGGAACACATCATAGCTGACATCTGAATATGACTCCAACATTAGCATATGTGTGATGGTGAGAGATGATAAGAATAACAAAATAAGTTGAGAGGTAGGAATTATAAAATCAGCAGCAATGGCTTGGCTTTTTTAAGTTAAAAATCCTAATTCATTGTTGTGGCCTACATGAGATATATAGTTTCAAAAAGGTGCAGAGACTACTATGATAAGAATCTAAAAACAATCCATGTTAATTTTGGGTTAATTCGGGAGCTTCAGATTTTGTTTGACAACACAAATCCAAATAATCATGTCATATTCAGGTAGTGTCGGGACATTTAGCTTGAAAATAAAACACAAATAATCAAAACAGGATCAAAATAGAGAAAAAAAAAAAAACTTAGAAACCAGTGTGTCCACAAACCTATGTTTTCTAATGGGTGGTTTTGCGATTCATGGTCTACTTTTCTCTTGCTATAAGGATCAGCAAATTGAATATCCTCCATGCTACTTTCATGTTTGAATACATGGATTCCAGTTGCTTTAACTAATGAGGTCTCTAACACACCTTCATATGTAACCTCCACATGCATCCATTCCTTTTCTAAAGGCACTTCAAACATATTATTATCGAAAGATAGCACCTGTAGATCAAAGAGATATGTGTGATCCAATTTCAACATCCTCCCTTTTCCCTTGTAACTATGAAAGTGATATTCTTGAACTTTGCCATTGATGAACAGCATGGGAATAGGACAATCCAAGGTAATATCGTATCCCACAGGTGCGACAAGAATGCAAAGAACATTGGCTTGGAACTTGTTCCGAAACCAAAAAGAAGTTGAAGGTCCCCTGCTTTGATGATTGAACCACTCTGGAATACTTGATGCTGGAAGGCAAAACTCAGTATGTCCAGCCTCGTGAAGTTTCTGTTAGTAATAATTCATTAAGAATTCATAATTTTACGATTACTAAGTGCACTATATATTATCAAATCAAATACTTCAAAACAAGACAAAACCTGAGTTAACAACATGCTTGAACTGGAGGAAGATAGGGATATGCAGTTTAATGCCCTGAAATGTTTCAAGTTTGATGGAACTCCTCTAATTTCCTGAAGATGCTTGCAATTACTCACATCAAGAGCATACAGGTTGTGAAATTCTTCGATGCATTCAGGAAGGAATGTGATATTATTCCCCGGTAACTCTAAATATGTCACATGAGCTAACATCTTGAAACCTATTGAAAAAAAATCATCATACAGGCTGCAATTTTGAGCAATAAAACAATCTACCTTTGAAGGTACTATTGAGCCCACTTTTTCTTCTTCATCTTCTGAATTTACCCATTGCCACCATTTGCAACGCTCAGCTCTAAATACAGATAGCTTAGGCATCGTGAGAATGCTACTTCGTAACTGAACTAATCCACACATCAGGAGTAATTTTTCTAGTCCAATAAGATTTTGAAATGAAACTGGCAATTCTTTTATGGGAAGGTTAAACAATTCAAGTTCTTTTATGTTTTCCATCTTTCCTAATATTTCCGGAAAATTCTCAAGACGGGAACAATTTGAAAGTTCAAGTCTTTCAAGAGAGATCAAGTTGAGAGATGGAAAACTCATAAGCTTGCTGCAACCAATAGCGCTCAATATTGTAAGTCTATTCAAAAAACAAACTGAGTGATGAACTGTAATTAAATTCTCACACTCTTTAAATGAAAGTTCCTTCAAATTTGGGAGACCAGATACGTTAGGTATCTGTATTAATATTTTGCACTCGTCAAAATTCAAGACGGTTAGATTCTCGAACTCCTGGAAAGAGAATAAAGGAAAGAATAAGTAAGAACAGGATGCATAAATGTAAAGCTAATTTAGAATTTACAAAGATGAGAAAAAATATACTATTTAAACTTGCCTTTAATAAGCTATCCAATGCGAATGATAAACAATTGGAAGGATATGTGTACCATCTCGATGCTCTCAAACTTTGAAGAAAATAATTGGGAATTCTGGAAAATTTTAAACTTCTATCATATTTTTCGAGGCTTTTCATCCTCCTGAAGGTGCTTTTGTCCCATTCTATTGTTCTTTCTTTGTAATATTTGGGAAAATCAGGATATTTAATTTCACTTTTACTGGTTCTCTGCGAATGTAAAAGGCATAAATCAACCACAATACAAGTTTAATACAACCATGATAGATAGTGGAAAAAAAATTGATTAAGATAAGAAACCAAACATTGATGAGACTCACTCACCGTGTTATAGTCCAAACCATGCATCATATCTTTCGGTAACCATCCTCCACGGTGTTTCGCTGGCTCTTCTGGTGATCCCTTCCGGATAATTTCTTTAGCCATGTCTTCCATCAATCCATGCAATGTAAGTCTATCATCAAAATAATCAAACTTCAAGAGAGATTTTTCAACCAACACGCCAATATGATGTTTAATGCTGTGACCATAGTGAACACTAAGTATAACTTCAACATCTGTCAGTCTACATTCTTTGAAGAAACAAGCAATATGAAGAAAAATACTCTTTTCTTCTTCTTCCAAAGCATCAAAGCTTACTTGAAGTATCTTTAGGATTTTCCTCTTGGGAATTCTTTCATATTGTTTGATAGTGGACTCCCATTCTTCTATATTTTTTCCAAACAAGTTAGAACCTATTACTTCCAAGGCCAATGGAAGGCGAGAACCACAACTTACCGCACGCTTTAAGACATTTAAATGTCTTGGATTAGCTTTTTCCTTTCGAAGAGCTTTCCATGTAAGCAATTGAAGAGCATTACTATTATTCAATTCCTTCAACTTATAAAATTTTATAAACTCAGGATATTTTAGCATTTCTCTGTCTCGAGTAGTGATGATGACTCTGCTACCCGGTCCCAACCAAATGGGTATTCCCAGGGTAACATCTAATTGTTCGTATTTGTCAACATCATCTAAAATCAAGAGAATCCTCTCTCTTTGGAGCTTCTGCTTTATCATTGAAATTCCTTGTTGCGAAGTTGTTAATTTATTTTCCTTCTCTCCAAGTATTTTTGAGAAAAGGATGCTTTGGAGGTATTCCAACCCATGGTTGTTCGATTTTTCTCTCACATTTTCAAGGAAATACGAACCATCAAAATGTCCAGAAACTGAATAAACTGCTCGAGCAAGTGTTGATTTTCCTACTCCAGCAGCTCCATATATACCTATTATGCGGACTTCATAACCAAATCTAACATTCAAAAGGTTCCTTATTTTAAGCACTTGAAACTCTAGTCCAACTGGGTAATCAGCAACACGTGAAAAAACGATCTTCCTGAGGACGTGCTCAGCAATCTCCTCAACAAACTTGTAATCATTGCGATATCTGTTTCAATAAAGCTAAACTATTAAGCCTTACATCCAAATCTTGATAGGTATATTGTCAAGGTTAAAAAGCGTTTATTTTCTCTTCAAATTTTAACATCAAAACATTAGACAAGTAAAGCATAATCTAACAAAAACTGTAAGGTAAAAAAGATTTAGGTGGGTACCCATCATTGAAAAGATATCCAGACAAGTCAGCAACTTCACGCAGAGCCATCCTCCATTTCTGCAACTTCTCCTTATTAGCCTTGAACCATTTCTCATGCTTAGTCAATGCCTCTCCATAACTACCTTTCTGGTGTCTGACATATGAAGGATCCACCTTATAGAAGACCGGTATAACAACCAACAATCCTTTCCTCTGGCAGTCAAGGATGGTTGCAAGTTTATCTAAGCAAAACGAGGAATAAGCATAGTTTTCAGAGAGCACAATGATGGCAACCTTAGATTCTTGCATTCCCTTCACGTAATTTTGTTCGTAATAGTTCCCATCATCAATGAAAGTGTGGATTCCTTTTTTATCAAGTGCCCCGCGGAGTACGTAAGCGAATTTTAATGTATCTCCCCTATTGAAGTTGAGGAACACATGGATGGATGCAGCCATTAGAAATGGCGAGAGTATGATTATGGATCGGTTGGTTGGATAAACTCAAAGATTAAGCGTTGAGTTGACTTTACGCCAACATATATTACATACAACAAAGCATAAATAAATTATTTTAGCTTGCGTTAATTTTACACTGACATTAAAAGTATTTTATCTTATAAAATAATATTATTTTAGCATTTTCAACCCACTTATTGCTAAATTATTTGCTTAACAAAGAATGCATATCTCATAGAAACAACTGGGTATTAGAGTTGATAGACCATAGTGTTCATAAAATCTTAGAAAAAAAAACATCTTAAAAGATAATTTTTTTTTACTTAAACATTCTCAATTTCTTTTTAACCAACCTCTTAAATCACATTTATAAAAATAAAACAAATTTAAGAATTATTTACATCAGTTATATAAAAGGATCGGAACTATAAAAATATTTTTATTTTGTTTGCAAAATTTACATAATAATGATATAATACTTGTTTAAATATTTTTTAAATTTTTAACTAGAATTAATTTAGTTTTTAATTTTGATCTTATAACTTTTTTCTAAAGAAATTAGTATTTTATAAAAATTTTAAAACTTTTTAAGTCTTCATAAGAATTTACAACCTTTTAGAAAGTTACCATCATCACCTTCTTTATTTTTCAATCATTTTTTTATCTTCTTTCTAAAAGCCTCTTATAGATAATTATACATATTAAAACAAATATATATATATATATATGTGAATTTTTATAATTATTTTTTAAAGTTAAAATATTATATTAAATTAATATTTGATCATAATAATTAAAATATTCTTAAATTATCAAAAGATTAAATATAAATAAAAAATTATAGAAATATAAATGTTTATAAAAACTACCTCATGAAATAAAATTTGTAAAAATTTAGTATAAATTACTCAAAAGTAAGAATGTGTCATGTCTCGATTAAAATAAAATAAGAATTTCAAAATTTCAATATATCACTTGTAAGAATCACTGGATATTCATTCTCTCTCGGTTAATATTTAGTCGAAGTAAAGGATGCTCTAGAAGGAGAAAAAAGATGATAATTTAAAATGTGTTTGTAGATCATTTAGAGTAAGGCCTTGTGTTTAGAGAAAATGTGTGATTAATTTATGTTTTGAGAAAGAGAATCTACTTTAATAAAAATATACCACTTTTATATGATTCCCTACTTGTAGATAGTCTATATTTCTATAGATACGTCAACATTGAAATATGGTTCTTTCTTATTCAAATTGGGAATTTGATGATCATGAAAAAAGTAATTCTTACTAATAGATATTGTTTAGATATTATTTGATATTGTTAGATATTGTTATATCAAACAATATCTTTTGTTTATTCTATTACTTTTAGTTACTCTTTTAGTTGTATCTCTCTACTATAAATAAATTATCCTATGTGTGATTTATACACAAGAGAGATTAATCTCAAACTCTATTTCTTCTATATTCAACATGGTATCTAGAGCTTAAGGTTATTTTGAAATTTTTTTTCGCCTTTGATCACTGTTGGAGCCATCACCACCGCCGCTCAGTTAAACTGATCTTCCACATCAGAAAAATGTTATTTTTGTTACTGGATATTATTGGATATTATTTGGTAGTGTGAAAGTGCATGTCTAGGAAGGTTCTGACAAGGAATGACTTGGTATTTAAGTGTGTCCATTAGTGACCCACCTCTCTTTCCTGGGAACTTACCTGGTGTACTGGTTCACGTTGTTGTCACTATCGCCTCCGCCCTTTATGACTTCTTCCGCTTCTTTTAGTACTTTCAATTCTATCAGTACTGCGTCTGATCCTTCCATCTACACTAACTATGTTAATGTGCACTTATCCATTGACAAGTTAACTGACCCTAATTATGCCACATGGTCATCAGACGTTAGATTATGGCTTAAGAATCAGAAGTATCTTGATCATCTTGTCCCGAAAGCACCTACTCTCACTCCTGGTGAGGAAGACCGTTGGGACACCATTGATGCTCAATTATGTGTGGTTCTCAAGGGTACTCTTGATCCTTCGTTAAAACAAATTTTTCGTTCCTACGAAACATGTGCCAAAATCTGGGAACATGTCAAGTTATTATACACCAATGATAGTCAACGTCTCTATGATGTCTGTTCTAAATTTGTAGATGTTATTGCCTCTAAACATCAAGATTCTATGACTGATTATATGGGCAAAATTCATGCTCTTTTTCATGAGTTCAATGAGTTATTGCCTCCTTCCCCCGACCCTGCCACCGAGATAGCACAACGATCAAAGTTCTTCATACTAGGGGCATTACACGGACTTGTTGATCAATATTCACATATTCGTGATCAGATTTTGGGTTCTCCGATTGTCCCCACCTTGACATCGACCTTCTCCACTCTTTTGTGTATACCAGCAAAACCTAACCCTGACACACCTGCTTCTGTTAATGATTCTTCTACATTGGTATCTCACCGTGATGACCGAACTCGCCCTCGTAAAGGCGTCCTAAGTGTAAATAGTGTGGCAAACTAGGTCACAAGATTGATCAGTGTTATGCATTATATGAGTGTGAACATTGTGACAAGTTAGGTTACAAGATTGACAAGTGTTATGCATTACATGGTCGTCCTCCTCGATCTACTGCAGTTGCTCAGAATGATATTTCCCCACCTTTATCTGCTAAGGATCCTCCTTCTTCTATTTCATCAGACACACCTGTTATGTTCAACAAATTTCTCAAATGGTATAAGGATCAACAATCTTCTAGTTCCATTGTGTTTGTCGCACACACAGGTACATCTTTTGTTGGTCTGACCCAATCTTCTTCTAGTCCTTGGGTTTTTTATTCAGGAGCCACTGATCATATTACTGGTAACAAATATTTGTTCTCCTCTTTATCCTCTCTTTATTCTTTACCTTCTGTTATACTGGCTGATGGCTCTAGAGTATCATCTCTTGGTATTGAAACTATTAAACTTTTCCCTTCTTTAACCATTGATAATGTTCTTTATGTCCCTGGGTCTCCTTTTAACCTGTTATCCATCAGTCGTCTAACTCGTTCTCTTGATTGTGTTGTTTCTTTTACCAATAATTCTGTATGTTTACAGGACCGGAGTTCGAAACAGGTGATTGACACAGGATGTGAGTCTCATGGTCTTTATCATCTTCGTCCCTTTACACATGTTGGTGCAGTTATAGAGTCTTCCTCTCTTTTCCATGTTCAGTTAGGTCATCCAAGTCTTGCCAAGTTACAGCAACTTGTCTCTGCCTTATCTAAGTTGTCTAATTTGGCATGTGAGTCGTGTCAATTAGGCAAGTATAGTCGTACTTCCTTTTCTCGTAGTGTCACACGTGGTGCTTCGTCCCCTTTTGTCGTGGTTCACTCTGACATTTGGGGACCTAGCCGCATTAAGTCTACTTTAGGTTTTCAATACTTTATTACTTTCATTGATGATTATTCCAGATGCACTTGGTTATTTTTGATGAAAAATCGTTTTGAATTATTTCATATCTTTCAAACTTTTTTCAATGAAATTCAAACTCAGTTCGGTGTTTCTATTAGAGTTTTGCGCAGTGATAATGGTCGTGAATATCTTTCTCATTCTTTTAAACAATTCATGGTTTCTCATGGTATTTTGCATCAAACCTCTTGTGCTTATATACCTCAACAAAATGGTGTAGCTGAACGTAAAAATAGACATCTTATTGAAACAACTCGCACTCTTTTAATTCATGGAGAGGTTCCTCAGCATTTTTGGGGTGATGCTCTTCTTACTGCATGTTATCTCGTTAATCGCATGCCATCTTCGGTTTTAGATAATAAAATAACTCATTCTATTTTATTCCCTCATGAACCATTTCATCCCTTACCTCTAAGAGTTTTTGGGTCTACATGTTTTGTTCATAATTTCAGTTTTGGTCTTGACAAACTTTCTTCTAGATCACATAAATGTGTTTTCTTAGGGTTTACAAGATCACAAAAAAGATACAAATATTTTTCTCCTTCTTTTAACCGTTATTTTGTGTCTGCAGATGTCACCTTTGATGAGTTCTCTTTTTATTTTAAAAGTCAATCTTCACCTCTGTCTCCATCCAATCTTGTCAACACTCCTAGTACATTTAATATTCCTGTTGTTTGTGACCCTCTAACTGTGTCTTCTTCACCATTAGTTTCTGCTCCGCAGTCAGCTTCTTCTTCACTGCCTCTTCAGGTTTATAGTTGCCGAAATCAATCACAACCACCACCATGTGACTCTACTCAAGTGTCAACTACTCTATCTCCTCCGGATGTGACACCTGAGTTTGACCTTCCCATTGCCCTCCGAAAAGGTATTCGTTCTACATGTAATCTCTCTCCCCATTATATTGGTTTGAGTTATCATTGACTGTCATTACCTTTTTATACATGTATTTCCTCTCTTTTTTCTGTAACCATTCCAAAAACTGTCCGTGAAGCTTTAGCTCATCCTGGTTGGCGTCAGGCCATGTTAGATGAACTAAGTGTTTTTCATAATAGTGGAACTTGGGAATTGGTCTCGTTACCATCTGAAAAATCTGTTGTTGGTTGCAGGTGGGTGTTTGCTATCAAAGTTGGACCTGATGGTACTATTGATCGCCTTAAAGTTCGTCTTGTGGCCAAATGTTATACTCAAATTTTTGGGTTGGATTATGGAGATACCTTTTCCCTCGTGGCAAAGATGACTTCTGTTCGTTTATTTATCACTATGGTCGTTCTTCAACAATGGCCTCTTTATCAACTAGATGTTAAAAATGTTTTCCTCAATAGTGATTTGCAAGAAGAAATCTATATGGAGCAACCTCCTGGGTTTGTTGCTCAGGGGGAGTCTTTTGGGATGGTATGTCGTCTTCGCAAATCCCTATATGGCCTAAAAGAGTCTCCTAGGGACTGGTTTGGAAAGTTTAGCAAGGTTGTTCAACAATTTGGTATGACTCGGTGTGAAGCAGATCACTTTTTCTTTTATTGACAGTCAAGTGCTGGATGTGTTTACTTGATAGTATATATTAATGACATCGTTCTTACAGGTAGTGACAACCATGACATCTCTCAGTTGACACAACATCTCTGTCACCATTTTCAGAGCAAAGATCTTGACAAACTTAGATATTTCTTGGGTATTGAGGTGGCACAGTCCAATAATGATATTGTTATATCTCAGAAGAAGTATGTCATGGATATTTTGGAGGAAACTGAGTTGATGAATTCAAAGTCTGTTGATACACCCATGGATCCTAATACTAAACTTCTACCAAATCAGGGGTAGCTTATACATGATCCTGAGCAGTATAAAAGATTGGTTGGAAAATTGAATTATCTTAGAGTTACTCGTCCTGACATTTCCTTTGTAGTCAGTGTGGTAAGCCAATTTCTTAATTCCCCATGTGAAGATCATTGGAATGTCATTCATATCTTAAAGTATATTAAAGGATCTCCTGGAAAAGGATTGTTATATGATTCTAATAACCATACAAGAGTTGTTTTCTACTCAGATGCTGATTGGGCAGGATCTCCTTCGGATAGAAGATCTACATCTGGATATTGTGTCTCCATTGGTGATAACTTGGTCTCATGGAAAAGTAAGAAACAGAGTGTTGTGACAAGATCTAGTGCAAAAGCAGAATATAGAGTTATGGCCTCAGCTGCCTGTGAACTTGTTTGGTTCAAGCAATTGCTTAAAGAGTTACAATTTGGAGATGTCACTCAAATGTCACTTGTGTGTGACAATTAGGTTGTTCTTCATATTAATTCTAATCTTGTCTTTCATGAGAGGACCAAACACATTGATATTGACTATCATTTCATTCGAGAAAAGATTATGTCTGGAGACATCAAGACTGAGTTTCTTAACTCAAGTGATCAGTTAGCAAATATTTTTACTAAATCTTTACGGGGTCCTAGAATTGATTATATTTATAACAAGCTTGACACATACGATTTGTATGCTCTAGCTTGAGAGGGAGTGTTAGATATTATTTAGATATTATTTGATATTGTTAACCACAATATCAAACAATATCTTCTGTTTATTATGCTACTTTCAGTTACTCTTTTAATTGTATCTCTTTACTATAAATAAATTATCCTATGTGTGATTTATACACAAGGGAGATTAATCTCAAACTCTATTTCTTCTATATTCAACACTTACAAAAAAGAAGGTCCATTTAGCTTATTTGGAATTCTTGGTGTATTATTATATGCTAACTTTTTTCCTTGAATTGTTAGGTATACCAACCTTGGCATTGGCATTACCACATAGTATTTTTCTGGTGCATTATGATATTTTTTTCAATTAGTGCATAATGGATTAGTGATTTTTGTTCGTCAATCCTATTTTATTTAAAATTTAAGATTTAAGGGTAAGATAAATTATATATATATATATATATATATATATATATATATTTTAATCTATCGAGACATATTTAAAAAAAATTATAGGGACTAAAATTAAAAAAAAAATCTCATATGATGTCGAAATATTTTTATGTCGATGTATTTTTGTGTATTAGAGAATTATGGAAAATGATTAGGTTGGCCTAGAACTTAATTTGTTTAAGTGAATATAAGCATTCTCCGTGTTCCAACCATATTAAAATTTACTTTTATGCAGAAGCAATTTGAATAAATATTTCAACAACTTCTCATAGAAGTAAAACTTTAACTGATTCTAGTTCCAAGCTTATTGTTGGCTTTTTAATCCTTCAAAAAGAAAAGTTCACAACTCCAACACAATTTTTGAAAAAATGAAAATTCTTAAGTTGTAGTGAAAGGATCAAAAGTATGTCAAGAAAAGAAAAAGAATAATAAGATGGGGTATGAATTTAAAATACAGGTTTCCTTCATTTACAGTTTACACACCTGATTCTCACCATGCAACACCAGGAATGAAGCAAGCAACATCCCATAGAATTCCTACTCAAACCAAAAAGGAATCATTCTCAACCAAAGGGTAAATGAAACTTGGAATCCTCACACCAGTTCTTGCCATGTAGCTTTATATAAAGAGATTAATCACAATTCTTTTATTCATTCAATCCATTTTCACAACTTCTTCTAGCAATAGAAGGGAGAAGAGAAACCACTGTTCATCACCTGCAATGGAAACCAATGCTCCTGAAGCTGTTAAGAATCGCTTGTATGAAGATTTTGAGCCTTACTGCAAATGGCTTACACAGAAAGGACAAGCTATTATTGAGATTAGTTTGAAGGGTAAGTATTAAGTTTCCTTTTTAGTTTTTTTACTTCTATGTTCTCATTTGAATAATTATAATGTTGATTAGAAACATTGATAATTGAAATTATAAATCTGTATTAGATTTTATCATGATTTTTAACTTTTCATTTTTTTTTTAATGACAGTCATAACACCTTTACTTTAAAGAAGTCAAGTCCTGAACTTTCATACGCAAATCATATGTTGAGTCAATTTGTCTTCTAGTTTGAACTGTTATGAATGAAAACAAAATGGTGATCTTTTATGGCCTAACATTGTTACAGGTTTCAAAAAGGAGCAACTTAAGGTTGAAGCCGGCAACTGGGGGACCCTAAAAGTTTATGGAGAAAGGCTTGTGGATGCAACCAACAACAAATGGAGCCGTTTTGAGAAAGAAATTAAGATCTCAATAGGTTGTGATACGAGTGCAATTCGTGCAAAGTTTTCTCATGGCGTTCTCTTCATTGCCATACCTAAAGAAGCAGTGATGGAGCATCTCATTTGCAGGGCAGAAACCAGAAAGAGAACAACAGCCATTAAAGTGGCAATTGCGGTGGTGTTTGTGGTGGCACTTGCGACTTACATTGCTCGAATAGTAAATAATGATGCAATAATTAAGTTGATTAACTAAAACACCAAAATTGAAATGAGGGGTGTTAAAAAAATCAGGATTTGTATGATCTGTGCTGATAATGCATAGGATTGCTTGCTTTCAGAATGGTTTTCTGTGGCAATGAGAAAAAGTGAGTAAGGTGTTCATATTTTTATGTTTTCTTGTAACATATATAACTTTCAAGAAAATAAGTGTGGATTGGATCACATAATATATTCATGCTTTGATGCTGATTAGTGCCTTTATTTTTATTTTTTTATGTGTGTGCACGAAGGATAGAATGAAAAGCTTTTATTAATCATTAATTTTTTTATTTTATTCTATTATTATTATTATTTGTAATGTTAATTTAATCCTTTTAAAAATATATATATATATATATATATATATATATTTCTATAAAAAACACTTAAATAAGTGCTAAATCAAATTAACTCTTGTCAACCTATATTAATTAGTTGCTACAACAAAATTCAATGTGTTAACTAAACAAACAAAATAGAAGAATATATGAGACATAGTAATGGGGTTTCTTATGTGGAGTGTCTCTTCAACTTATTTTGGAGTAAAAAAAATGAGGTTATATTATGTGTTTTTATGTAATTTAGAAAAAAAATGATTTTTTGTTAATTATTTTTGTAAGTTTTTAATAGGTAAAATATTCTTTCAAAACTATTGTAAGTTTTTAATAGGTAAAATATTCTTTCAAAACTATGAAGTAAAAAATCTAAAATTTAGAAGAAGAAGAAGAAGAAGAAACGTAGAACATAGGCTAAAGAAAAAATAAAAAAAACTGTGTTAAAATTGGATTTAGAAACCCTATTTTAATATGTGATTTTGATAATATGCATGAAATCTAATGTTGGATTCTATATTGTTAAAGTGAAAAATTAGATATAAAAATTAATAAATAAAATAGAAGATTGAGAATGATTAAAATATTTTTTAACTTAAAACACTCGTAGATTTTGAGAGTGTAAATTATTTGTTATAAACCTTCCCCAATTTTTGTCCCAGTTTTCGTCTGCAAACTCCTCCGTTCTAAAACCCTAAATTATCACCATCATCATCTTTTCTGATGGGTTCGAGAGGAGCGACCGTGGTGCTATCGAGAGCGAACAGGATAAGAACGAAGCTGCAATCGGCGCTGGAAGCCACAGTTTTGGAGGTGGACGACGTGTCGTACCAGCACGCGGGTCACGCCGCCGTGAAGGAAAGTTCTGACAAGGAGACCCACTTCAACCTGAAGATCGTTTCCCCCAAGTTTGAGGGCCAGAGCCTCGTGAAACGACACCGTCTCGTCTACGACCTTCTCGCTGACGAGCTTCAGTCCGGCCTGCACGCCCTCTCCATCATTGCTAAGACGCCCCACGAAACAAGTTCTGCTAAATGAATCGTTACGGGCGTTTTCTGAAGTAAGTTTTAGATGCTTCAATCATCCCCTTGTTTTGAACTTGTTTGCACTATTGGGTCCTTCCGTGTTGGGTTTTCAGTACTACTGGAAAATTAAGTGACAATCTGTGAGTGTAGAACAGACCAAGGATTAGGTAGGACTTGTTAGGATTGATTTGTACATGAGTACATATATTAGAAGAAAATGTGAAGGAAAAAGTGAAGTAAGAAAATGTGAAGAATATTAACTTGTTTTCAAGTTTAAATTATCTTGTTCATAAATTAAAAACAGTTATAAGATAACTTAATACGTAAATTATAGCTTATTGATAAATTTATTTCATTTTCTTTGTTTTATTGCTCCATATATAGAAATGGTTTAGGTTTTTTGGTGATCCCAGGTATTGTAATTGTAGAAAAATACAGTTGATGTGCCCTGCAATTATGGTCTCAAAATCCTCTTGATGATTGGCTGAAGAAGCAGTTTTGCAACATTTTTCGGGTGACAATGTTTCATGGGTTGTCATACTGCAGCTTTTGCTGTCTTTGTTCGCTATATTTTGCATTATCAAGGATGATAATGAGACCGCAATTGTAGCTGAAACGACAATTTAAAATTATCAGTAACCGCTCATATCATAGCTCTAGCTTGAAATTTCGTAGTATATCTTGGTTTACTTCATTCACTTGTCAAATATGTATCTTATCTGTCAAGGTTTGGGGTAATGGTGGTAAGTTCTGGTCTTTTTGTCTTTGATGCTTTGATTGCTTTCAATGAGTTTCCACAATTCCATGTATGGCTGTCAAATTCAAGTGTTGATTAATAAATTCGTCTGAAATTTAGAGCTTACCTCTCCAAATTTCCCGTTTCTGGAACAGTTTATTGGTGGGATTGCTAAAAATTGCGTGGGTTTGTTCAAAATCATGAGCTGAAGTCCAATTTCGTGAGTTAATAACTGCTGTGGATTCTAAGCAAAATAATATTAAGTTGTGGCTGGAACCCAAACGATTAGGTCTCAGCTATCTTATGTTCTCTATTGCTCGATTCTCACAAAACAGAGTGCACATTCTGCTCTGTCAAAGTCACAAAACAGAGCCGTCTTGTGTTCAAGTCATCTGTGGACCGCTTCTTCTCTTGCATGTTTCGTCTTCTGTGTCAAAGTTGTATCTCTCTCTTAGCTGTGTCGAAGTTGCCACTTCTCTCACACCTTCCTCTGCCCTTTGCAAAAGGCAAAAGCTCCTTCGTCCGTTCAGCTCATCCACTTATATGAATCTGATTTTGGTCCAATCTTGCAGTCTTGAATCCTGTGTGTGACTTGCTTAATGTCTCATTCGTGGATCTATTTCTCTGTGGTTGTGCTACTTTGCTTTATTGTGAAGTGGAAATGTTGAATTATAGCTGTATTAAGAGCATTATATTTATGCATATATGTTATTTTAAGGTTTTCTAATATTGTTTTTTATATTAGATAAGTTCTTACAAATTTATGATTCAAGCTATGGAAGCTGATTTTACATAGACTCTTGAGTTTGACAACTTTGCTTCTACAATGCCCTGTGCTTTATGTTGATAGAATCTGACTAAAGCTCCTATGATGAATTAACCTGATGCCATAAAACTTCTTATTCCGTCGTTCCAATTTCTGAAGATTAGTTAGTTTTGCTTATTAATGTAGAAGAAAGTGTAAATCTGAGGAGCTTCTGTCAAACTTTTTTATATTTGCCGACAGTTTTTCCAAAAGAAGTGATTTCAGGATTGTTCTTTGTAGCTTGTCGTCCCACACTGCCTCACTCAAAAAATAAATTTGTAAAGGAAAGAAAACGGGAATAGCAATATGACTGACTAAACAGAGGATGGAAGCTGTAAATCAACTACTTCTTGAACCTTTTTGTGTCTATTTGAGGCGTGTTTGGTTTACTTCCTGCTATTACTTGGTTAAATTGCTGTATGTCACTACCAAATTTTTGTTTTAAATCTTGTTAGTATTAGTCTGACTATTTTATTTTAAACTGCTATTGCATATTGACTTTTACTTTACTTCGCATTTCAGTTTCACTAAATTCTGCTGGGAGGATGACTCAGTGGATCTGAAGCATAAAAGTATCAACTATGATGGTGATTAACCCTCAGATAAAATGGAGAACAGGAAATTTGTTTGTCGATTTTTAGTGGAAGTGATTGAATGTTGGGATAGATAACAATTATAATATTAAAATTTCCACCGTGATTTTACATATTGCCGCACCATCTTTGCATATTTTTATTAAATTTTGGACATCAAGCTTTCATTGAAGTAACTTGTTGTTCTAATCAAAACATAATGCAGTTATTATTGTGCTAATGATGTTATTTGTGGATTAACATACTTGTATAGTTAAGTTAGTTTAGGTTGGTTAATTTAAAAAAAAAAAAAAAAAAAAATTGTTTCAATGTGCTTTTATTTTTCATGATTTAAAGTAAACTTTCAACTTGATTTCTTCTCGATTTTTGTGAGAAACAGATAGAAAAGAGTGTTTCATGTCCAAGAAAATTGTGAGTAGTAGCAATGGGTTGTTTTCTGACATAAACAGGTTGGTTTCTCTCTATTTAAAAAAAAAAAGAATAATGATTATTTAACACCCATTTTCTGTCCATACAATAGGAATATATACATTCCTATTGGGCTAAAAATATATTTAGAATTTTTTTTTTAAGTTTCTAGTAGCAAAGTTGTTTCATTAAAATTTTACTTTCCTTATTCATTTATACTCTAATTTGTTTTCATTTTCTTTACATCAAATAATCTATATATAGTTACAGTTAAACCTCCATTATATCTACTAATTCATAAAAAATAATTGAACAGTGTGTATGCTTGTCAAATTCTGTACTAAATTTATACTTGATCGTTGCGGAACCTTTGATAATTGTTTCTTTCTTCCACCGAATTACATGCATGAACAACCAATTATTTAGTCCAAAAAGCGTCATATTTGGTGAAAAACTAAAGATAGCCTAATATAAACGTTACACTCCTCTAAATATTACGTATACCACCACCTCTCCCCTCTTTAGCCTAAGTTTTGTCATTTTTTATAATAATTATGGACACATTAAATGTTTTAAATTTTAAAACATAAAATAACTAATATTTAAAATACAATTCTTATTATTAATAATAATATAAATTTATAAACAAATTAAAAAATGTGCACATATATAAGTCACCAAATTTTCAATTGATAAACTCGAATTAATTACATAACCAATCTAATGTAATATGAGACCAACAGCCTAAGTTCAGGATTTATAATTTTTAAATTTTGAAGTCGTAAAATTTTTGTTATTGATTAAATTTATCAAAATTTGTAAAATTCCTAAAAAGCTAAACATATTTTTTTAGCATTATTAATTATTAATGAAATTATAAGTTTATAATTTTTAATAAATGAATTATAATTTTTTTTTTAGTTTTTTTCTTAGTCTTTACTCCATACTGGTTATACTAACAAAAAAAAAATCAATAAAACCCTTTGGTTTCCTAAAGTTTTACTTTGACGGCAGTTTATATTCTCCAACCAAACTAGACACTTATACCAAATCCTCTCTGCCCTAATTCCTCACATCGGAACCTTACTCTCCACCGCCCCAGCACCTAAATCCGAAACGCTGTTACTGTTGTTGCTCACCAGGTACTCCATCGCATCTTCAATCCATTTAGCGACGCAATACCGTCTTTTGATTTAGTTTTTCTTCTCTCGTAATATTTGTTGGGAGAAAGAGGATTTTTCTTCCGAGAATATTCGACGCGGATCGGACGTTTTGGGGTCAAAATTAGGGAATTCGGTCAAATTGCAGTTTTTGAAGTTTCTTTGTTTTTAAATACTCAAAAAAATTGTTATTTTTCTTTTTTGTACTTTTACTTGGTGTGTAATGTTTGCATGTTTATATTTGATTGAACTTTGATACTAGCATTTTCCATCTTTGTTATGGGTTCAATTTTTTATTTTTTTTAAACGGGTATGTATTTTTCCTTGAAAGTACCAGTTTTTATTTGTTGAGAATGCGGCTGCTTGTTTTGTGCGATTTCAGGATTTGGAATTGGAAGAAAGTTGTGACTAGATGATTTTTGTATCTTTGACTCCAGTTAGTCTTTGATTTAGTCATAATACTTTGGTTTTGGTAGACTAATTGAATGGGATTTAAATACAATGTTCTTTTGATTTTTTATGTGTATCTGCAGCTTTACTTATTTAGTCTATGTTACTCCTTTTGTACCCTACCTCTACTCCTTGGATTTTTAGGTGGGTTGTGGAGGTGTTGCTCATTTATTAGTCCTTGTTTTCATTGATTCTATTCAGATATCTGATGATTTTTATTCTTTATGAATGCAGCTAGCAGGAACTCTGTTATTCTCTTTTATTGAAGAAGTGAACAAATGGATGATTGGGGTAAGAAAATTTTGCTTTACTTATTTATTTACACAGTGCATAATAGCTGGAATCATTTATTGATTGAATTCTTTAATTGTGGTATGTTTCGGTTTCATTATTTTTAGTCAATGTTGATTGTTTTTTATATTCTTTTTACCTCTTTTATATTTTCTCTTCTCATCATTTCACTGCTTATCCTTGATCCTTTTTTCTAAAGCAGGATTAGGATATTGATTTTTATGTATCACATTATTAGATAAAACTATATATGAATTTGTTTGGTGCTCAGATATTGTAATGGTATTCGATTGATAGTTATCTTACTTGATGATCCATCATCCCTATGTTTCAAATAATTAATAATGGATTAAATTTGATCAAGCTATCAATTTGTATGTATGGAACAAGATTGGATTTGATTTCACTTTTATAATGTTTTTTTCATGTTTGAAACATTAAATGTAAAATAAGCTCATTAATTTAACAATTTTGCTTTATTTTCCTTAACAGTAGTTAAAATGTCTTAATTAGTAAGGATGACATTGTCAATTATAAATATGAATTGTGAAAATCATAACCAAATCACACTGCTCAAATTCAACCATTTCTTTAGTGGACAAATCAATTCATTTTTTATATCCAATATATGTTTGGGAGCTGGTATATTATGTTTCTTCTACTATCTTTTGTATCCTTGTTAATTTGAGAGTGTTTGTTCCAGAGGATGAGCAAATTGCTCCTCTTGACCTTGCATCAAAAGATCCAGTTAAAAGTAAATGGGATGATGAGGATGTGGATGACAATGATGTGAAGGAATCATGGGAGGATGAAGATGAGCCTGCTCCGGTATGAACAACTAAACATGATGTAATAACAGAGGTTTCTTTCTGTGTATACGATTGTACATGTGTATGATTTGGGAAGAAAGATGGTCATTTTTCATTCCTGTCCAATCACCTTGTTGACTGATTAACACAGTTTTACACTACTGCTATGCCAATGCAACTTCTGTTGTTACTAGATTTTGTTGATTACTAAAATGTCAAGAATTACTATAGTTATTAGGCAATATGATTTATAATTTATTAGTAATTATTATTTACAATGTATATTTACTTAAGTCTGCTGTTATATTTTTTTTTTATCCTTGTTTATCTATCCATTGTCTTCTAGAGAGATGGAGTTGTATAAAACTAAAATGGTGCAAGTTGTTTAGCATACACTTCTAGCTATGATTACTTTTTAGTACAATTAAAATAGTGTGTGGTGATTACTTCAATGTTGATGTGGTATTTCTAGTAATAATTATGGTCTTCTATTTTCTCGTTAGTTGTTAATTGCCATATGTTACTTTGCATAATATTGGCAGGCACCTGCTGCACCTACTGTAAAAACTACTGAAAAGGCTTCAAAAAAATCTTCTGATAAAGTTACTGATAAGAAGGGTAAGACAGTAGAACCAATAAAGGAAGAACCATTAGATCCCGTGGCTGAAAAACTTCGCCAACAAAGGTATATTGTTTCCTATCCAATTTGGCCATCCTGACGTTGCTTTTATAATGTTTGTTAAGAGTACACTGTGACTGGTATAGCTTGCTACTGAACTCTAGGTTTAAAAATGTGTAGGTATGCTACATATGCTAGTTAGGAAAATATGATTATGAGTAAGGGATAATTGTAAAGAGGCTATAACACTGTTTTTCGAAGTTGCTTTCAATTACTCCTAATGGCAACTTGGTTTAGTCTGCATGACAATTGGTCTGTCAAATGTCAATTCTTGTGTAGTTTAAGTACAATTTCGCATTGTTAGGGCTATATCTTCTTTGACTTCTACTTGAACTACTTTGTGCAATGATATCTAAGTTTGATTTTACTAGCTCCATATTTAAGTATATTATATCTAAGGTTTGCTTTAACTAGCTCTGGTATTTGTATAATAATATCTAAGGGGTTTGCTTCAACTGGCACTGGTAGCCAAAGTCAGCTACTAAGTGGAAACAAAACATTGGCTACAACATTTAAAAAGAGCAGATCACGAACTTAGACAAAATAGTCTTATCTAATTTCCTATTTATTATCTATCACAGATTAGTTGAAGAAGCAGATTATAAGTCCACTAAGGAATTGTTTGGTGGGGGAAAAGATGAAAAGAACCTTGACACTTTCATACCGAAATCTGAAATTGATTTCTTGGAGTATGCTGAGCTCATCTCGCACAGACTTCGTTCTTTTGAGGTCAGTTAAATATTCAGTCTTTCTTCATTCCTTAATTGTGTCATTGTGAATAAGATCAAGGCAGAAAAAGTTATCATTATATGAGAAGATAAAGGACATTGCTAATTTGGTTTTCTGAAATGCAGAAAAGTTACCATTATATGGGCTTGCTGAAGGCAGTAATGAGACTATCAATGACTTCTCTAAAAGGGGCAGATGCCAAAGATATTGCATCTTCAGTAACTGCCATTGCGAATGAGAAGATCAAGGCAGAAAAAGAAGCCAATGCTGGTAAAAAGAAGATAGGTAAGTTCATCTTGGATGGAAACATCTTGTGTTTCTTTTATATTTCTATTGATTCTGTCTCATTTCTTTTGGCGTTTTCATTTTATTTTTCTGTGAATGCAGGTGGCAAGAAAAAGCAACTTAATGTTGATAAGCCTGATGAGGATTATATACCTGCTGATCGATATGATGCTCTGGATGATTATGATTTCATGTGAAAATTTTTGGTTCAGTTCCAATTTAGATTCAGTTACGGGATTCAACTGTTTCAACATAGGACGTTGGGACAACCCTTCGGCATACCTTGTCAAAAGTTAATGAGTGCTGTCCCGTATTTTGTCTAATAAGTTTGTGCATCAGTGTCTTGTTTTCTCATTGTCAATTTTGTCACCACCGATATATATATACTTGGAAGTTAGTGTTATATGATTAATAGAACTTCAAAGGTCTGCACATGAACGTGGCAACATTCAACATTAGCTTTAACTTTGGTACATTTATTGTTCTTGGATTGTAAGAATAGAACTTGACTTTTTTTGTTAAGGGAACATTTTATTGTCTTTTGTTAATGTTTTGACAGCATTGATTCCTTATTTGATGTGCATTGTAATGTGAGATGAATGCAAAATGCTTAGTCAGGAGAGTGAGCCATCAAATGATCTTCCAAACGTACAGGGCCCTTGTAATTTTATACAATTTGGATTTCAGTTAGATTATTTATGGTTTTACATATTTGAATCATGGCCCCTTGGGGATTCTATGTTTATGATTAGTTTACGAGAATCAATTTTTCGTAGAAGAGTAAAATACCTGAACAAATAAAATTTAGGATAAAATATGTTTTTGGTCTTCATCAAGTCGTTGAAAAACATGATTTATAAGTTCCAACTTTCTATTATGAAAAACATCATAAAGTTATATTGTTCGCTATCATAACGTTTTTGAAATTTGGTTCTTTCACAAAATGCACAATGAGTCATCTTGTCAAGTACTCGTGGTGGTTCTTTCACAATCAACAACTGAGTGGGAGACAATGCTACTGTGGAAAAAATATTATGCTATTGACCTCAAGTATGTAAGAATTCCAGTTAGACATTTTTGGCATTGTCGTAATTGAAATGAAATATTCTGTGTTTTTATGTATTATTGATTATTGGGTCAAGGTTCATTGACCCATTGTTTGGGTTTGTGCACAGCAAAATAAAATGTAGTTTTAATATGATATTGTTCAGGAGATGACGAAGTTATACAAAGCACCAAACAAGATTTAGAACTAAGAAGGAATAAATATCAAAGTTGGAGAAGAAACTTGTAATGGAGTGATAGGAGTTTTTATTTTGACCATATTTTTGTATATATTGCGTTGTGGTTATATTTTATGGTTGGAGGCATGAGTATGAGGTTGTTTTGATTTATTTGTTAATATGTATTTTGGCATACTATTGATATTGTTGTAATGGAATCCGTGCAATTGCAATGGTTTTATATTTGAATTTTATCAGAAATTTCCAATTGATTACATTATTTGTTATGAGATGTGTTGTGATTGATGTAATATAAACAATATGTATTCATAAATATTACATACAACAATTAAATACAAATCGATCTATTATTAAGTTGAATTCATAAAACAAAATATATGTCTTAATAAATAAGTTCATCCCATGAATTTTAGATATATTTTAATAAACAAATATATTATAATACATGGTCCAAACATATGACTAATGTATTTATCTGATATAAAACATGGGAGCATAATCTCATTAAAATATTTGAAAGTATTCATCATCTGCATTCCTACCCACAACAATTAAATTCTGTCTTCAATACCCATTAAAAAAAATCATGTTATTACATTATAACCAGTACGAGGTTATAAGCTACATCATTTAGGAGAATTTTAAAAAAAAAAATTCATGCATTTTATTTTGATCACTTTTTTATTTGCTTTCATGGCGATTATTGTTTTCATATATTTTTTTAAAGAATTAAGTTATTTTATTTACATTCAAATCTAATACGAGTATTAAATGTTTGAACATATTTCACCAACATTTTAAAAAAAAAATTCAATGAATTTTTAAAAAACATAGTACTCATTAATATACAATAATATGGTATATAAAATATTATCTAAATAATTTTGTTCCTAATCCACATTGTAATAAGAATTAAAAAAAAAAAGAATGTAAGACAAAAAGACAATTCATGAAAATAAAAAGTTGTGTTTAAACTTCCCCTTAAAATGTCTAAATTGATATTCAAATTTTTTGTATTCTAAAAAAAAAGGTTAAATTAGTGAGTTCATCAAATTATTCGGGAATATTAAAGTACTAATTTTCAAACTATTTTTTAAAATATCTATTATCGATTAATTAAAATGTATTAAAAATGACGAAATTGTGTGATCTTATAATTATTTTAATATTTTTTAATTTTATAAGTTTAGAAAGACTTAATATTATTTTAGTCATGAGTGACTTTTGGTTTTGTATTTTTTTATTTCTTCTAAAATAGTAATAATTAATTTTGATCCTAATATTATTATATGATACATAAAAGGTCAAATCACACATACTAAATTAATAATATGATATATATTATTCATTAATTTTTAAATAAATATTAAGAATTAAAAATGGTAATATGAAGGTTTGAAAGAATAAAAGTTAAAGAAAAATATTTTATGCAGACTAAAATTATAATTCACACATTTAATAAAATTTACAAATCAAATATTTGAGATTTATAGAAATAGAATACATACAAAAAATGTAGGTCAAAATCTAAACTTTCTAATGTTAGATGTATTCGAAACATATTTAAAAAATTTCTAAAGAATTTCAATATATTTGTTTAAAAGAACCGTTCTTAAACAACATGGTATATATATGCATGTCCATATATTTTTGTAAGCCACCCAAATTCGAAATTTGATGTATAAAGTCAATCACCAAATCTTGGAAGTGATGATTTTAGCATTAGAAGGGACGAATGGAATTGCGTGTTTTCCTCGTGTCATTTCCATTGTAAACCATGTTTCCCTCTGATCTTGCAGAGCCACAAATGAAACAAACCAAGCCCCTCATAATGAACGAATGATGAGCTGAGACTGAAGGACCATCTTCTGAACCATAGTTTTCTCCACCGACTTCCCCTCTCTTCCATCCCTTTATTGTTTGCTTTTCCTTCGCTGCGACAACCACAAACGGTGAAGGTTTTGCAAACATGAGTGGAAAGGCCTCCGTCTCCAAGGAACTCAATGCCAAGCACACAAAGGTACAATTTTGCTCCACCCCTTTTCGTTTTTCCTCATCAACTGCATCTGGGTGATGATGATGTTGAGTGCTAACAAGTATCAGTTACTTGGGTTGATATTAATTTTTATCAAATTGTTGTGACAATTTTGTTGTGTAGTGGATCGTGTGAAGCTACCAACAACGTCCTTTTTGAGTTTGTTGTGTTTTATTTTACTTTTTTTTGTGAATGGATGCAGATATTAGAGGGACTTGTTAAGCTACCGGACAACAGGGAATGTGCAGACTGCTGGACAAAGTATGTGCCTTTTTCATAACCTATTGTTTTCTGTTAAGTATGGATGTTAATGTTTTCAGGAAATTACGTTTGCACTTGTGTTAATGCACATGGATAATGGTTGCACATCAGATATCTAAAAGTGTTTTTTCGTAATTACTTCTAAGTTTTCCTTGTTATCACTTCGCTGTTGATATCATTTGATAAATTGTTGCGGTTTTTTAATATAAGCTCACTTTTAATATTCAGGGCACCAAGATGGGCAAGTGTGAATTTAGGAATATTCATATGCATGCAATGTTCAGGAATTCACCGGAGTCTTGGAGTACATATATCACAGGTTTATATACATCTTTTCTTCTGTGTCAGTTTAGAAATTGATAAAGGGCTAAGCCTTGATGTTGAATCTAGGTGCGCTCCACTACATTGGATACCTGGTTGCCTGATCATGTTTCTTTTATGCAATGTAAGGAACTACGCAGTTTGTTTCTAATTTTTCAGTCACAAATATTGTAAAGCATATTATGAGATAGTAAATAGTTAGATACTATGACTAACTCTTTGTTGCCTTTTCAGAACCAGAGAATTAACTAGTTTTGTCAAAAGGTTAGATGAAGGTCTAACAAAATTGTATTGGTAAAAAATCTAGTGGTATGGTCCATTCCATATATATGTAGGTAGATATACCTCTATAGGACATCACGTAATATCCATTTAAATGATTAATGAAACTACTTACTCATGGAATATAGGGTATTTGTTAGAAAAAATACTGGGATCTTGAATTCTTTTGCAGCTGAATTTATTTAGTACTTTGGTTGTCTGCATAATATGTACCTAGCTCATCCCTTGATTTGTTGTATTTTATGCAGCAATGGGTAATGTGAGATCAAATAAGCACTGGGAGGCAGAATTACCACCGAATTTTGACAGAAATGCATATGGAATTGAGAGATTCATTCGTTCTAAGTATGTTGAAACTGTTCATGAATTATTGTGAATAACATTGATTCTAAACAGAAGATTAATTTTCATTAACTTCCCCATTTGTGATGTTGTCAACTTGCTTAAAATCTTCCAGGTACGTGGAGAAAAGATGGGCTTCAAAAGGAGGACTACAACCAGCTTCAAAGTCAGCTGAAATAATCTTTAAGACGAAAGAGTCACCACCTGTTGGGGCCAATATTGCTACTCAGAAGAATAGGAGATTGTCACTTGAGGAAAGCATTCTTGTGAAACATATGACACATGTTCCGCCTACAAGAACAAGATCTCACGAGGTATTCATGTTTAATGTCAATTCAATCCTTAATAAAGAATTTTCTTTCAGAATTCACTTGCACTGATTATATACATTGGATCATTTAAACTACTACTCACATGCACAGTTGTTGAGCTGGTGAGTGGTGGCCGTTTGCACTTTTGCCCCTTTTGCATAACTAATAATGCAATCTAATGAGCTATACATAAATTTGGACGAACTTAACTGCTTTTGAACTGCTTGAGCTATCCAAATTGTATTAACTATTTTAAAGCATATTTGTTAATTTCAGTAGTTAAAGGAGTTCAATTTGGTTCAGTTCATTATTTTTAACAACCCTGGATCTAGTTAAGTATTAAGAAACTGCGTTCTATTGTGGAAAATGATGTATTTCCTTTCTTGTTTTTGCAAGGCAGGGTAGGAGGTAGCCAAAATTTAGCTTCTCATTTCCAATTGCTATCTTATTGAATTCCTTGCCCTTTTTGTGAAATATTTTTTCCATAATATCCCTTTTAAGCCATATGCATTTAGCATCCCATAGCCTTGTGTAGAATGTTCCTTTAGTGGGTTTAGAATGTTCCTTTACATCTAGATATATTCAGAAAGAGGAATGAAAGAATGGACAAGGGGGAAGGTGTTTGAAGGAGTGTGGTCACAGACATATCTAGTGGCAGGTCATAATTTGCATTTGTATTCTCTTTATGCACGACTAAAAATTTCTTTTTCCTTCCAAGAATTTCTAAATCAAAAAAAGGCCAATAAAACTTCATCTCTTGCAATTCAGGGGTCCTTTGATTCGCAAAATAAGCATTCACCACCAACAATAAGGAGGCCATCCGCATCATTGGATTTTGGCAGCTCCAAGAAGAACAATGGTACCGTTGATCATTTTGGCTTGTTTTCCGTCCATGCTACTAAACAGGATTCATCAAGTACACCGACTAGCTGGATAACTTTTGACTGTAAGAGCACAATACTTGTATTGCACATCTTTTTGTTTAATATCCTTCCACTCTTCGTATCGAAACTAATAAGATGTTGTCATCTCATGTTATGGACTTCCAAATTATTAAATCAATATATTCATTTTTGCAGGACAAGGTTTATGAGGTGTATGTTTGTAGATTGTTGAGCTAGCCCTTCGTGTAGATGTCACAGCATTATAGTTGAAGAACATGTCATATTGCATGAACTTTGAGCTGCATTGATCTGGTGTGTACTTCTCTTTTTCAACGATTAATTTTGCTTTGATGTTTTTCTTTATTTCCGTTTTTAGATGTCCCTTATATTTTATACGTTTTCCTAAAACCAAGTGATTTGTGTGTGTGGCCTTAGAATTTTCCTGAAATAATTCCATTCAGCTCAAAGTGCATCCTTGTACTGACTTGAAAGTAAATATATATTACGAGGCATATTTAACTTGTGTATAAAGATTTAAGATGGCCATGATTCCAAGAATCCTATTTTTAGTGCAGAAGATTGGTCTCACATGCATAGTTTGATACATGGCATATATCTTGAAATCAGTTTTTATATTGAAGATTATGTTTTCTCACAGGTTTGAGAACAAAGTTTTTCATGAACACGCTGCAGCAGAATATAAATTTGTTGCAGGTTTCACTACTTTGGCCTTGAAGTATCACACAGCCTATGGTCGTCCATAAAATGGTTTGATTAGAACTGTTGCTTGTATCACTTTTTCCTTCTAACAGCCATTGATTGAGATTAAAAAGGGATCAAGGGGAGTAAATTGCAGTTATTCTTTTCTTATCAATGTCAGTTCAAGAGTCTGTGACCAGAGATTTTGTCATATGCCCCATCCTAAGTTTGTTCTTTTCGAGTGCACCCTTTGGTTTTATTCATCAGTCAAAATACATAGAGAATGTTAACTTTCTGCATTGAATCTTGGGTTGAATAACAAAGGTTTATGATCTCTTTCAAACACACACTTTAATCTCTCCAAGCAGGTAAGGAAATATAATGGTTTAACAACAGTCAAAATTAATTTAATGGCTTTATAAGAAGTGTTGAATAGTAATTCTATAATTACCTTACCATACACAAAAGCCACTTATGGCTAGAACTATAAAATATCTTATTGAGTCCAGTTCTTAACTCGATTTACGCTTTTATTTTTGTTTAAAAAATTAATGATTTTAACTTACTCATTTTTTCAATCCAACTTAATTAAAAGTTTCAATTTGACTTGTTTAACTCATTTACAACTCAATTAATTTTACTTCTATAAAAAATTTAAATGACTTTTCAACTTTACTAATTTGTCATCTAAAAAAATTAATATAATATTATCTTCTTATAAAATATATGTAAATATTTTATCATATATTAAAAAAAAAAAAGCAAATGTTTTATATAAATAGAATTCAATATTTGTCAATACAATCTGAATTTTGAAGATTAATATTTTAGTAACCGATTTATAAAATTTGAATCCATGTTATTTAAACAGTTTAAGCCTAATTAAAAATTTAGGTTCACAAACATCAAATATTAAAAATTTACTGGCGGAATAAATTTATAAAATAATTAATTTGAATTAAGAATGAACAATTTTAATTGATCGCTTACATGTTTCCATACTTCAAAAATTTGAAGTCCATGAAATTGCTGACCTGTCCTCTCCTATTTACACAGGCTAATTAATTTAAAAAAAAAAAAATCCAGACATTAATAAATCAATAATAACCTTCCTTCAATCCATTACAAAATAAAAATAGATTAATGGGTGCACAATCGTCATCGTGAGGCTGCCCGCATTGTAGTTTACCCTCCGCAAAATCAAAATTTGAGTTATTAACGAACCTCTCCATCACTCTCAACGTATAAAGGCGCGAAAAGGCTGAAATTCTCAACGTACTCTCTTTTTCTTTCTCCTTCTTCCATCTTCTTCTTCTTCTTCTTCTTCTTCTTCCATGCGTTCAGACATTCACTTTCTAAATTCGCAGGCTTCCACTTCTTCTGTGGCCATCTCCTCTCACTCCGAATCTCACCTCGATCGGTATATACCTCGCGTTTTCTCGTTCACTCATGTGAAAATTAACTCACGTACTAATTAACTTGTTAGTTATTACACTAATTAATTAAGTTTCGGATTTCGATTGTTGACACTTGCACCGAAATTTTTTAGAGCTGAACTTCCAACTCTGCATTGAGCATTTCAATTATCATTTAGTTAGATCTGAGTTTTCTTTTCCTTGCTTGATTCGAAGAAAAAATGGAAAAACTCAGGCCAGCGTGGGCTGTCAAGGCGATCATCGTCATCATTTTCACTTCGATTCTTTTCCGATGCGTTTGCGGGGAGAATCATACGGTTGGTGGAGCTTCCGGCTGGGATCTCCGTTCCAATATTCAGGCCTGGTCTTCTACAACAACGTTTAATATCGGAGACGATCTCGGTACGTAGCCACATTCTCTCTCTCTATCTATCTATCTATCTATCTATAATTCATCTTAATCAAACTATGCTAGCATGCACGCTCGAATCTCTTAAACTATCTAAATATAATTTCTGCCAAGCAGAACATCAATCGCCACCTTCGAGTTTCAGAAGGTTGAAATCTCGCAGGAGTAAGTTAATTTAACAGTAGAGTAATCGTTAAGTATTTATATTCTATTTGAATTTTCGTTTCGATAATAACAGAATCCGTTGAAAACAATCAGTTCTTCTTTTAGAGAATACTTTATTTTCTCCGTAACTAAACATTCTGATTTTTCTAGAGGAGAAAACTGCAAGTAACCGTTCCCCTTTTTCTCGAAGCTAGTTCAGCGAGGTGACACGAACACCAAGACCATGCCAAGGGCATTTTCGGTATAACGGATTAATTATTTTCTTATTAATGGGCTAAATTACAATTGCTTTTACTATTGATTTTTATATACAATTTTGGTTTTTTTATTTATTTTTCAGATTTAAGTTTTTATATTTTAGAATATACTTTTTTATCTATTTCTTAATTTTCCATATTTATTGTTTTATTTTAAATTACTTTAATTATTTTATGGTACTTTCAATACATATATTAGATCAAGTTTAATTAAATAAAAATAAATCATATATAAAACTAAATATTCAATTTATGAATTTTTAAAATAAGAAACTAAATTTAAAAAAGAAAAAGGAAAGAGACAAAAATGATAGGTTTAAAAGTTAAAATCAAAGCTGAACGAAATGTTTTGGTTTGGTTTGGCTGGCAGTGTTCTCATACACGCCGGTTCACGACGTGGTGGAGGTAAACCAACAAGGTTACGAAACGTGTGCGATAGCCAACGCTCTTGCCACGTACGACAGCGGAGACACCTTGATTCACTTAAGCGGAGCGGGAACGCGCTACTTCGTGTGTGGCCGAATGGGCCACTGTCAACAGGGCCTTAAACTCCAGGTCCAAGTTCTAGCCCAGTCCAACAACGGAACCAACGACGATCAAAACCAAGGCCCCACCGCTTCTCCTCCTCCTCCTCCTCCTCCTCCTCAGCCGGCTTCTCCGCCGCCTCAAGATGACGCGCACTCACCTGCGGAGGAGCTCTCGCCCTACGAGCTTTCACATGCAGAGGAGCGCTATGGGGTGGTGCCGTTAATTACGCTCGTAATCGTGCTCGCCTTCGCCCGCGCTCCTTTCTTCTTCGCTTTTCCTCGCCTCCGTTTTCATCTCATGCGTTGAGCTTGTTAGCTAGCTAGCTGCATTTTAGTTTTACCTCACCCTATTGCTCAGTGCAGGTATGAATGTGCTGGTTAGAAATTGAATAATGAGTCTGTGGGCGTATTCAATGTGAATATTTTCTCTGGACGCATTGTATGTACTTTCCTTTCTTGTAAAGTCATAATTGCAGCTCTGCATGCATATTCAACGTGAATATTTCTGTGCGGTTTTAAATTTGCTTTCTCAATTGGTCAATGTCCTGTGTGCGTATAATAAAAGGAGATGTAATTAAGTAAGATGTTCAAATTTTGACCCATATAAAACCTCGATTAAAAAGAAAAATATTATTAAAATTTATTTATTTTTCTCACCCGTCATATTCGAATTTGGAATTGAAAATAAAATATTAAATCAAATCAAATAACCTATTTAATATTTTTTTAATTTTTATATATCATTATTATATTATTATTTAAGTTGTCAACGTTATATATTCGACAGTTTTTTCTTTTTTAAATTGCTTGTTCAGTCTCTTTAATTTACGAAGGCGAGTGTTACTGACGCTATTCTGATGACATGAGAGAGAGAATATGTACTTTCTAAGAGCACGGAAATATTATTTCATTCGGATGGTAATTGGTTGACAACTGAAATAATGAATAGATAATTTAAAATAACATTACATAGTATTATGTATTGTTGTTGTGATTCATTGTTTATTGTTTCGGTTGTCAACCACGGGTTTGAAGTGTCTTCAACAAAAACAGACCGTGCTAATTGAAGGCCGAATGGACGTGGTTTGGGCCTCTAACATCAGCCTTTTCTAATTAATTAGCTTCGTCTATAATACGCCGAAGCATTATTCGTGTTGTGTGATAATCCGGCGGTGTCCACTGGCTCACTCCCATTGTAGGTCTAGGGGGCATCATATATCAGAGTTATGATATGTAGACAATCATTATTTATCAAACATCAATTCAACAATTACTTTTAATTTTTTATATTATTATTTATTTATCTTACTTATCTTTCTTCATCAATAAAAAAAATATTACTTTAAGATTGTTTGTTAGATATAGGGAAAATTTTGATGTTTATTTATTTTTTCCTTTTTGATATTATCATTAAAACCCTCACCCACAAAAAAAAATGTGAAGTTTCAAATAATTGAGAAAGATAACAATGCTGGTTGTTTGTAATTAAATTGTCATAGTTACTCATATTTAGACTTTGTATGCATAGATGGGTAGTGTCCCCGCCAACCTACAAAAAGAATAATAGCAGCCGCTAGAAGTTACTAGTCTATATCAAGCAGGGGTCATTTTGAGTGCTGCTTCTTGAAGACATTACTTCTAGTCAAGCTAAAAGCAAATTAGCAGCTTTGAATACCTTCTTACTCTTCAAGCCATTTATGAGCTTAAGTTTTTTAACACATACAAAAAAAATACATTTTTTATGAACTACAATTAGTTCATTTAACAAATGTATTTTAAATATATATATATATATATATATATATATATATATATATATATATGTTTACCTTTTCTTCTTGTGAATATGTTTACTACGAAACTTATCCAGAGTCTTCTTTGGTCCCTATTCTCTGGTCCACAGTTTTCTTGTGCTATGACAACGTGTACAAGGATTTTCTTGGTTGTTTCCATTAGTGGTAAATAAGAAAAAGACTAGTCTTTGATAATGGCAAACAGTGGGTCTTATTCTTAGGACCTCTAGCTTGTACATTCTTCGTAATCAATATTTACACATAATTATTACCATAAGCAACGGTTATGCAGTGTCACACGCGTCAGTAGTGCCATTCCCAACTCGTTCCTTTTCTTCGCATTGATAATTCAAATTTCTACTTGAAGAAAATAACACTAGTTATTGAATTATACTTGGCCATTTTGAAGGTAGCAGAATTCATGGACAAAAGTAGAATGCGTTAAAATAGAAAGAGAAGGCAAATATTATAGTAAACTGAACTTTCCTAAATGAAGCTAAAGGCAGTTTGCTGGCAGGAGATGGGGGTCCGTGTCTGTGGTTTCTCACAAATAAAAGACTTTCACAAGTTGGATCCCCTTACATTTTGAATTGTATAGAGGTCCTACTTCTTTATGAAGTTCTGTCCTCACAAACCACTCAAAGTTCATGACACAACAAGGGACATGGGGCTCTTTCTGCTTCAATTTTCACTGGCATGTAAGGGGGCAACGTGCTTTCCGACCTAAGGGGGTCATAATTAAAATGAAGGCTTAAAGAAACAGCAAGTCCCACTACATCTATAATGATCTATACCACGCTGACAGATACTAACCATGTGCGTGTGTGTTCTCCAAGTTTACTGACCTAATCTCATCTTTGATCCCAATACTAATTGTAGCTTTGGAGACTTTGACAGCATAACCAATCTGCTTAAGCCGAGATGTCTTAATTGATGCTCACATGAAACCATGCACAGTTGAAACTTCGTTCATGCACTTCAATCTTTGTACCAAAAAAAATGAATAAATAAAAGTCTTGAGTTCTTTTCCAGCCCCATAATACGCCAAAAGGCAAAGGGGGTCCAACCCTCTATTCCAACTCCCTTAGTTTGGTCTACCAATGTACACGAGCTACTATATATCACCTCCTTGCATGAGTAAGGTTGTTATTGGTTATTGCTAGGTGTATATGATTTGGTTCAATTGGTATGTATCCAAGTTTGTTCCCCCCTTCCTTCTATGTCGGTTCTCTTGTAATTAAAAGAGTAAAGAGGAAAAGGAAGAAGAAAAAAGGACAACCATTATTCAACAAATAGAATCTACGACGTTGTCGATCTTTAGTGTAAAGTTTTTTTTTTTTTTTTAAATCATGTTTATTCATCTACCAAACTCAAACCCACTTCGATTAAGAAATCTAGATCAACTCCAGTCGGACTAACATAGTACCTCCTCAATCAGCAAGCATTTTAAGGCTGAATTAACTGGTAAACTATTAGGTCTGCATAAAATAGCAGAAATTGTACATTCCATATTAAATAATCGCCTCATAATGCTACCTAAGTTCAAACTACATAATCCATACAAACATTATGATATAAGAAACACTGGACTTCTGAATAGTTTAGAAGAACATGTAGAGCAAGGATCTAGAGCAAAGAAAGAGCACAACAGATTAGGGAGAAACTAACTTATGCCCACTATGTCACAAGAAACTTGACAAGGGAAAAAAAGTACACCATATCTGATGCTTGTCATGGCTTCTTCACACAGTCTCAGCAGCAAAAACATGTACACAGCAAGTCCTGCCAAGGGAGAAGAAAGAGTCAACACTGGTAACCGACAATACGAACTTATATGTGGGATTATATATATTACGTACTAATAATGTAGATTATAATTTTCCTACTATTCAATCAAGTGTTTGGTAGGTGGAACAGTCTAATCAAAAGCTAGATTCATTTAATTGCCCTTACTGCTACTTATGTTTCGCCAGGTGTTGAGTGCCTATGCGTCAAGAATATAATTAGATGCCATGGATATATGCACCATGGAATAACAGTGTCCCTTTTTCAGTCATAAAATACATGTTTGTGTGTATATAAGAACTTGTACATTTAATCCTAGCTGAGGTCATACCGTAGAAAAAAGGATAAAAAGTTCAACAAACATTTGATTATGTTTAATTTAGCTATAAAAAGATTCCATAAGAAGGTGCTGTATTTAACTACTATTTGCTAATTCAAACACTGATATGTGAACAGTTGTCATCGAGCTCATGACAAGACTAACCATTCTAAAAGAGTAAGTTGTTAGGAAAAAGGCTACTGAATGGTTTAATAACACCAAATATGTTCCATATACATATATGATTACACACATAGCCGACAGTGGAATACTCCATAACACATGGATTTGTAACATGCTGATTGAATGCAATGACAACTAAAATAAGCATATATGTTAAGTACCTCCAGAATGGTCAACATACTTTCATAGATTATCATCATTTTGCTAAATTTTCACTGTGACTGGTGAAAAAGAAAGAGATTAGCCACATCAAACACGGCGATTTATCATTTCCCTGAGACGCTGGATAGATTCCAGCCTCTGCAACTTCATTTGATTGTTGATCTTCTTAATGAACGCTTCTGCCCTGCGATTCAGTTCCTCTAAACTCATGGACTTTTCCCTTCTCAAGGAAGTTCTATCGTTGAATGTGTCTGACTTTTTGAGCTCCTTCTGAGCCCAAGCCACTGGATCATCAACGTCACCACCCTCCCCATTACGATGAAATGGCTCTGCCTTTACAATCCTTGCACCCCATGTGTCACTCTTCTTCAGCTGTGGCCTCATCGTTTTCCCCTGCCCCTCCATGATAGACTTCCACGTGGCTTCCAGTGTGTCATCGCCATCGGAATCCGGCAAGAAATAATCATTGGTGCAATTTTCTAGCAACGGGTGGAGCATGAGCTTGTCAGAGGACAAATCAGTCTCTTCAACGCCTTCTTCTTTTTCTTGATCTTGCTCTTTCTCTTGTTGTTCTTGTTCTTCTTCAACCTCCTTTTCTTCTTCCTTGTCTTCACTGGTTTGGTTCTCTGGCTCGGTTGAGTGGTTGGTAGTGTCTGAAATGGTGGTGGTTGCGTGCGTAGGATCAAAGGGTGCAGGAGAGTCAGATAAGTGTTTGGGGTGGAAGTTGGAGGAAGCTGCAATGATGATGATGATGAAATTGACAATGATGTAAAGGCATGGGAGTGTTAGCCAGCTTCTAACTGAGACCCAAAATTGAGGAAGAGTTGAGAGAAGAAGGTGGAATGTGTATGGGACTACTGCCGCTTTCAACAGAGCAAGAGTCGAAACAACCCCCATGGACATGAGCACAAACTTTGCAGCCCACATGGCTGTTTCAAATCTGTTTGATTTGACAGAAGATGGTTTTTGAAAAAGATCCATCACTGACATGTTGCAGGCAGGACTCCTAATAGTCACTCTTCACAACACAACAACACCCAGATTCAAAAAATCAAAGCAAAAGAACGGACTTTTCTGCTAAGAAAAATGAGAAGAATAAGACCCAGGAACAAAAACTTCTAGGTGGGTGGGGTTTTTTTATCAACTAGTACATAAACGTGAACAAGCACCAGTTCTTCAGAGGAAAAACAAGAGAAAGGAGCTTTTTTGAAACTGAGGTTTGAGTATGAAAACCAAATTCTGAAAGTTTTTCATAAGGAGGATAATCAGGTGGGGGATGAAGAAGAAGAAGAAGAAGAAGTAAGATTTGTGGCGAATTACTGTGGATCCTTGAAGGGTGATGAAACAGAAGAGAAAGGAACAGAAACAAGGGAAGTGAAAGAAAAGAAAGAAAGTGAACAAAATGTATTGAGGCCAAGCTGGCTAGAACTTGAGTCCACTCTGGTCTCTAGAGTACAAAGAAAGAAAGAAGGCTTTTAAAGAAAAAAAGCTTTCAAATTTCACTGTTTCAGGTGCTGTAGTTAGCAGCAGAGCCAACAAAAATTCCATTAGTACTGGATAGGCAGGGTGGTTATAGAGTAGTACAGGACCACATGAGTGAGTCAAGAAGGGATCTAAATGAACAAGATCTGTCTATGAACCTCCATTACTCATACACCCATTTTTCATTCCCAACCAAATACACTGTTTGATGAATTCCCCACCGTCAGATTCTTCAACAACAGTTAAAAGGGTATGAAAAGATGATAAATTTTCAACTCTCATCTTCACTCATTGCTATATAGGAGGTGATGATAGAGATAGAGATAGAGCCACCGATATTTTTACTTTTTTTTTTTGCTTGTGAAACAAAAAAAAAAAAAGTTTGGATATATTTTCAGACCTGAAAAGTCAAGAAAAAGTAAACGATTGAATTAGGGTGGAAAGCGTACTAATAGTATTAGTTAATTAACCATAATTAGGTTGGTCGTTAGCATGGTTTAATTTTTTTTTTAAGAAATGTAAGCAATATTTGAAGGTAAACTAAGTAATCTGAATTAAAGTAGTAGCTGAGTTGAGCGGCGCTGGCCACAATATGCGGAGGGGATGATTGCAACTTTTGGCACCACTAAGCTAAAGCTCCTCAACTAACCACAATGCATCCTCACAAATTATTAACTCATTTTAAATCATTATAAACAATTTCTAAAGTGATCCCTAATTCAAAAATTTTATTGTTACAAAATTAATAACATTGATGTAAATTTTTTTTATATATATTAATTTATTTATTTTTTGGCAAAATTGCATATGCACATAAAAGTATCTTATGTCTGCCAATTTATTGCTGGACTCTAGATTGTTCTCCAATGAGTAATGTTATGCGTGTGCTCATTCTTTTTTTTTTCAACAACTGTTATGATTGTAAAGGCAACTTCTCTTATTAAATAGTGATTACTTGTTAATGTAACAGTTTACGCTTTTAATCTATCAGACATCGTTATAAATATTATTTTTCAAGTGATTATCATATTTACCGTAATTTGCGATTGCCTACTATGTCAAATTTGTGTTTGTGTGGTGAATTTTAAGAGGTTAAATATTTTTTACAACTTTTTTTTTGTAGTAGTGATTTTTTTTAGAGTTTCAATTGTTTTACGGTGAAATATGTTATTTTGATAAGAATTTATGAAGAAAATATAATTTTAGGAAAAAAAAATATTTGTTTGGAATTGTACACATTTAAATTTTACCCAAAAAATAAAAATTGAATATAAAGTATTCAATAAAAAAAAAATCGTCCTTAAATTTTAATACGTATCATCCAAACACAATATTAACATTCTCACCAAACACAATAGCTAATAAATATTTGTAACAATTTTTATTTTATTTTTAAGTTTTGGATCAATTAAAAATTATTATTTAAACTACAGATTCCACGAAGTAATACTTACCTTGGCTGATTAAGCAAGATTTTGAATTCATAGCAAGAACATAGTTTAAATAAAGATGGATAGAGATTAGTATAAATATTCTTGAATAATATATATATATATATATATATATATATATGATAGATAGATAGATAGATAGATAGATAGATAGATTTTTCATGGTTGTACCCCTAATTTCACTAGGATTTCCACCATAAGCTAAGCCATTAGGTGATGCTCCTTTGCCTCAATTGAATTATGGTTATGAAAGAGACATAAACAGTCACCAATCAACAACATGGATTCTAAGAAAAATAAATATCTTTTCAGAAAAAGAAATATCTTCACTTGCATTGCATGGTCAAATGAGTGCCTTTGAACCTGTTATTTTTTATAAAATCACTTTTCATTAAAAAAAAATGTGCAAAGGATCAATGAAATTAGTTGGATAAATTTTAAAAAGAACTTTTTGTTAAAAATTAATAAACTGAATTTTCACAACCAAAAAAATATCATAAAAGAACTTTCTTACCAACATTATTCAAACTCTCGGCATTATACTATCATCATAATTTTGACTAATAAAATTGAAGGTATGAGTTGGTTCAATGATAATATAAGGGTTTCTTTCTCAGTGATGATATCTATGGCGTCATAATAAATCTAAACGTTGATTTTGTATTAACATGATATGATATGTAATTATCTCCAACATTTGCTAAAATAATTGACTCAAATATACAAATTCCTTTTTCATTCCTTCCTCAATTAAGTCTCATCCACAATCATTCACTCTTTCTTTTTACTTAAGTTTTGTATTTCTATTTTAATTCATATATTTTTTAACAAGCAAACATTAAAAATGTTAACTATTTTGATTTTGAGATGAAACGATGAGCGTAGAAATAATAGCAGAGAGGAAATTAGCAGCATGGTGCTGCATTGCAAGTTGCAATTTCACTTTCTATGCATATATGTTCATAGAATGGAGTCAGATTTTTGGGTAAGAAAAACAGAAGACACAGCGCATGTATGTGGCATATTTTGTAAAATAAAAAGTAATATTTATAGAAACATATTTTGTATGTGTGTGGCATGGAGTCGCTTGTCGTACCCTAGGGAACCATCCACCCACCGACTCACCTCTCTCCTTCGTAGCTTAAATGTCTGCTAATCATAACCAACAGTGTGTGCATCGCCCCTTTTTCTTAAACCAAACTCTGCAAATAATCATAACAACACCTATTCCACACCCTTTTCATCAAGTGTGAGTAAGTTAAGAAAGAGAAAATTAATATACCAATGTTTTTTTCAATGAATTTCTTTGGAAAGACTCAAATGATATGAGAGCCGAAGAGATTCACACTACAAAAAATTATTAAATAATTTAAGTGTAACAAAAATTAGGGCTATAACTTTCGTCTTTGCCAAGTCCCATGATCCTCACTTTCACATGCTCACAAAATGCCAACCATTACATCAAATCAATTACTCTTTCTCAATTCTCACCCTTCTGTGTCATACCTCACTCACTCACTCACTTTTTTTCTCTCTCAATTCATATGTCACATTTTTTATATTTTTAGATCGGATCAAATAATTTCAATTTATTCAAAATTTAAACTGTCACCTTTTTGTGACCAAGATAATAGTGTATACCCGACCGAATTACTCGCTATATATAAACCAAAGAAAAAGAAAGAAAAATATGTACGGAACTAAGTAGGAGATCTATTGATAGGACGAACAATAAAGTTGAAAAGAAAGTCCAAAAATATCACGAGTGTTTCCAACCAAATCAATCATGATTTACTTTGACAAAGAAAAAAATGCCTATAAATGTCAAACTTGGAACCACCATTTATGTGAAGCACTGTTTCGAACACCCATAAATACCTAAATCTAACTAATTATTGCACATATAGTGAATTCAACTCCAATCGATGTACTTAATAACTATGCATTAGAATCTTCTATTCAATCTTTAACATAGGGCTAGAATCGCATAAAAAATCATGATTAATTTGGTGCACCCAATTCTTATTTAATTAAGATTAAGGCAATGCTTTCAGAAAGCACATAAGAACATATAGTAAATAATTGGGGTAATACTACTGTTAGGTTTTGTCATTATATTTAAAGTATTACTTAATATTTTAAAATTAGATTAATAACTGTCAGTAGAGAATTTAAAAGTTTAATCCAAAATTCAAATTGATTTAATAAATATAATAAATTTATAATATAATAAATTTATTATTATTAATATTTTTTTAGAAATAAAAAGAATAATAAAAATCATTATTATTATAGTCACTATAAACTCTGATAGATATTATAAATATAAATATAAATATAAAACATAGAAAATGTAAGGTGAATAATAATTACAATAACATTAAAATATAATAAAATTATTATTATTTAAAATTAATATAATTAATATGAGATAATAAATTAAAATATATTATATTTTTATAAAAAATATATATATTAAAAATTTGATCTTTAAATTTTTTTTATATACCAACATTGATTTGATTTAAAAATATTGTTTTATTTCTCTTTAATTAAAATTTGGTTATTTGAAAGTAATAAATTGGTTTCTATATTGGTTTCAATTATTTGTTGATCCAATCAATTCAGGTTAATTTTAAAAACAATAGTATTGTTTATTTTGAAACTAAACTATCAACATTTTTTTTTTTTAATATTTTGATAAACTAAATATATATATATATATATATATATATATATATATATATATATATATATATTTATCTAAACATATAAAACTTATCAACGTAAAACATAAATTATAAACTAAATGATAAATTATTTTGAAACTAGATTGACTTAATGACTTTAAATCTATTAAAATTTGTTAGATAATCGAAAATTAAGTCTTCGTTAAGTCAAAATTAAAAAACTGAATAATATATATGAAAGTATAATTTATAATTGTAATAGTTTAATGTTTTGGGTTAAAAAGTAATTTCTGAATTTGACACATATATAAGAGTTGATAGGTTGTGATGAAAAAACTAATTGCATTAAGATTTTTGATAAAAAAAG